AAACGTTTACCACTACCTAGTAAAATAAGCAACTTAACAAAGAAAAAAAAAATGTGGTCAAGCATGGACAGTGACAGACACATCTTGGAAGTTAAATACAGACAACTTACTTTACAAGCCCGAGGCCACCGTGGTGTAGAGGCTAGACATTCGCTTGGAGATCCAAAGGGGTTGTAGGTTCAGGTCCTACCGGAGCCAGATTTTTTTTCTATTAAAATTACCCTGCCTCCCAGGTCGACCAGGCCTTAAATGGGTACCAGGCAATGTCCTGGGAAGTAAAAGTGAGTGCGTAATGTTGACTGCATCACCCACCCCGAGTGCTTGGTTTGATTTATACAAAGGATCAACATCATGGCACAAGGGTAGTAACTCATGAGTGCTCCGTTCTACTTCTAGCTCAAGCCTGAGTCTGAAGATTCTCAGCGCAGTGCATGAACTCCGTAGCACCAGGGAGGATCCTGAAATAAATTGGGCAGATTTTTAACTTCAAATTTTTCCCTGGCAGCACCATTAGGCTGCTTTCCACCCTGAGTGCCGATTGGTCTATAAAAAATAGGTCTAGCCCAATATGCCTAAAGGTGTGGAACAGGGTCATTTACTTTTTTCTTTACAGGTCTGGGCAGAAGAAGAAAGATCACGGCTGGTTGAAATTTATGTAACCAGATCCCCGTGTGGGTTCTGGGGCCCCATTGTGGGGAAAACAAGAATAGACCCACTGCCTCCCCAAAAGCATGTCCTAAGAGTCGACTAATTGGGGAGCTTCCTTTGAAGTCGGAGTGCATCTGCCGGAGAGGCAAGGAACCAACAGTCTGTATTCAAGAGAATGAGATCTGTAAAACTGATGCACACGCAACACTCAGGTTCTGGAGCAGGACTGCAGTTCAGTAGTGGACGAGCAACCAGAACCTTCCGCCAGAGTTTACAGCTGGTGAACGCGAAGAAGAAGAAGATGTAACCAGAAAGTTGGGGGGAAAATCTAGAATATAATGTTAACCGCTTTCAGTTCTCTACTGTTTTTTATTTTAATATTCCTTTTTTACTTTACTAGATATTTTTTATACAACTGGCCTCTTGTAAGCGCTGTCTGTGCTTTCTGGTTCAACCTGTGTGTCCTGGCATTAGGGGTTGGCATTGTGTTATACTTACGGGGTGAGAAAGAACAACCAGTAGAAGGGAAACCGGAGAAAGAGGCCAATCCCAAGCAACAGGTCCAAAACTCAGATGGAAGCAGTAAACTTCCTGCATATGGTAAGCTTTTCATCTTCAGGTTTTAACCCCCAGTGTGTATGGCCAACTTTTGACTGGCAACTTGAAATTCTAGTGGCAACTGTTGGTGTTGACACCTCTTGCTTCCCTATGTATTGAGTGTGTATGCATATTTTTTATTTATTTTGCCAGGACTAATTGTTTGTTCACTAGTTTTTTAATGCGGCAGTGAGGGGCATTTTATGTGATTTTTCACTGGCACAGAAACGGGGCAATTATGGAATGATCCATTCAAAGTGAAGCTCAAACTTCAACTACTGGCTGTGCTGATCTCTCAGTGGAGCATAGACTGGTAACCCTAACATGCCAAGCCTTTTGTAGACTTGTTCATGACTTGTTGAGTGCTGCAGCTAGTTTTCTAGAGCGTGGGATTGCCTGTCTCGTGCCTGCTCTCCATAGTCACTTTTTAATGACATGTATGTTATCCTTGTCATTGAGAGTTAGAAAAAGAATTCTTGCTTGCTACATACATCCAGTTTTAACATATGGCTATGAATCCTGGACAGTCAGTAGGCAGGCCAAACAATTTCTTAAGGCCTCAGAGATGTGGTTTTACAGAAGAATGCTTAGAATACCTTGGACAGCCAAAAATAGCAACCAAGAGGTTTTGAAAGAGGTGGGAGCTTGAAGACAAATCACAGACATCATTTTTCAGCCATGTTATGAGAAGAGGGAAAATAGAACATGTTGTGACCACTGGAAAGATCTGTGGAAGGAGGGACAGAGGAAGACAAGGAGAGAAGATTCTTGACAGTCTTGTTGCAAAGCATGGAGGTGTGTCGGCACACAAACTGATATATGCTGCAGGAGATCGTGGATTATGGAGAGGCATGATCACCCACACCAGTCGGCAAGGCACCTGATGATGATGATGATGATGTTGGGCTACAATATTTACATCCCTTATGGACCTCAGTAGCTCAGTGAAGAGAATGAAAACCTAACAACAACAACAACAAATGTAAGTATGAGAGGAGCCAAACAATTTCTTGAAGCCTCTGATTTGTAGCTTTATACAAGAATGAGACAAATTCCTGGATAATCCCAACAGAGCAGCAAAAAACACAAGACATGAAAATGAACATTGAAAAAAAAAAAGTTATGATAACTGCAAGAACAGAAGAACCAATCAAGATATGCATAGAAAACCAATAACTAAAGCAAGCAAAAGACTTCAAGTATCTAGGGAAAATAATATCATCCAATGGAAGAACTGAAGCGAGACAGATCACAGATGTAATAAAGCAAATCAAATCATTGGACAAATGTCATCAATTATGCAGAAAAAAACATAATTCACACCAAAAAGAGCATTATTCAATATAGTGTTTTCACCAATACTGTATTATCAGTTACAAACATGGACATTAACAACAAAAGATAACTCAAAACAACAGAAATAAAATTCCTGCGGTGAGTCCTAAATGTAACTAGAAGAGACAAGTGCAGACATGATGCTATCAGGAAAGAAGTTGGGAGAGAACCAGTATTAACTCTTTGAGTCCCAGGGGCTTTGTCTCAGAGACCCAAGGAGTAGTCAAGAGAGATGTAAAATCGGCACAACTTGCGTTAACTGGGCTTCTAGGTAGAAACATATGAACTTTTGATGCGTTCTTTGGGACTCAAAGAGTTTAACTACATCAAGAGACCAAAGATCAAAATGGTTTGGACATGTGTCAAGACTACAACAAGATCTTGCACCATGGTGATCCCTATAACTTCAACATAATAGACGCAGAGCCAGAGGTCGACCACTCAAGCGACTGAAAGATGGAATATCAGAGGCCGTAAATACCAGCACCTATGTAGCACATAGCAAAGCTCTCACCTGATACCTCTTCAAAACTTGACGCTGAACAGAACCAAAGAGGGAGAAGAAGAAGGAGATGAAAAAATTTCCTTAGACAGCCAGAAAGTAATCCAGATGTGTCGACAAAAGATGAAGACAAAGGCAGCTTACCACAAACATTAGAAAGAGACATCATTTTTGGGCCATTATGAGAAGAAAGAAACCGGAACATTCTGTGATGACTGGAAAGATCTGTGGAAAGAGAGACGGAGGAAGACAACATGAGAAGATTCTTGACAGCCTTTTGTTGTGGCTATGGAAGGCTGTCTGTACACAAATTAATACATGCTAATTAAGTTCACAAGTTGTGGAGAAGCATGATTGCCCACACCAGTTGGCAATCCCTTTATAGTGATACATGCTCTTCCATTCTATGCTTTTACTAAATATGTGCTCTTGTATTTTATTTGTCACCACTGTTGTTATAAGTATAGATAAATATAACACAGTTAATCATTCTAAACTTGTGTATACAGGTGTTCAAACAAAGAAGCGTGAAGACATCAACATGAATGATGCTGAGCCAGCAGATTATAACAGATGTGAGAAACAGGATTTATTCTCAGATGTAAAGCATCGGAGAACCAATGAAAATTGAATATACAAGCATAAGTCTTTATTTCTTGCAAGAGTTATGAGTCTGTAATGAAGATTCTATTCATAAAATCAGCTTTCTAGTATTTATTTCCAGTGGTCACACATGTATTCAACTGAACTGGCCAGACACACTTGTCGACTAATTTGGAGCTTCCTTCAAAGTCCAAGTACATCTGAATGAGAGGCAAGGAACCAACAGTCTGCATTTAAATTAGACCTATGAAATGGATGTGCACGTAACACTCAGTTGCTGAAACAGGGCTAGAGTCTAGAAGTGGAGGAGCAACCATAAATTTTCCGCACAATTTGTAGCCGGTGAACGCGAAGAAGAAGAATGAAGAAGACTACACCTGTTTTGTTAAAACTTTCCTCATATCTAAAAGCTGCATCAATTTCAAAATTGCACTTGTGTTATCATAAACAAAACTGTAGTTGTTTATGTGACTACTGAAATATTCTATAACTAGAGGCTAGTTTACCAGTTTTTCTCAGCTTTAGTTTCTTTCCTTTAAAATCCAGTAACATGCAAATGAGATGTCTGGGATATTCCGAAGAAATTACCAGAAAGGTAAAAATCAATAATGAACTCATGAGAGAAACACTGCACAGACCCGATACTAAATTACATAAAGATGGCAAATAAAATAGTTTGCCTGCTTAGAGAGTGCATTGTGACACCATACCATACAAGACAGATACCAAAAGAGGAGAAGGACATGACAAGAACAAGACAGAAAGATAACAGAGAAACTATAACAGTTCAGTGTGTCCATGGCTGAGGCAGCCATAAGAGCAAGAAGCTGAACTTTGTATCTCCCTCGACACCTAAAAAGTGAGTGAAGTAGAAGAATCAAATAAAAACAAACATTCTTCTCAGTGTTTTGTTTTTTATCTTTTCTTTACATCTCTAGTGTTAAGTTAAGAAGACGCAGCAGAAGAATCAAATAAAAGACATTATTCTCAATGTTTTACTTTTCTCTTTTCTATATATCTTTAGTGTCAAGTTAGGAAGAAGAAAAAGAAGAAGCAGCAGAAGAATAAAATAAAAGACATTATTCTCAATATTTTGCTTTTCTATGTTCAATATATCTCTAGTACTAAAGGCATTTCTTTACTTAGCCACAACACTGAAATACTCAATTATTCAATGGTACATACACACAAATTACAATGGTTGTGACCATTACAATACAAACCTAAAATATTCATAGAGTAAAAATATATTTGCAAATCAGACTTGTAAAAATAAATGAACATTTATTACTCCTGTGATAGTTATATTTTATAGTTAAAAGAATTTTGATTTATGTAATGTTGAGTATTTTCTAGGCAGGTAGACAGCAGACAGTAGAAGCCCAACAGAATAGCCTCCGACTGCACCCACTACACAACTAATGGGCCATTCCTGCAGACAGATAGAAACAAACCATCATTACAATATCTGTATTATTTGTACTGGCCTATTCATAATTCTTCTCCCCTTGTGGGTTCCATGGCCTCATTGTGGGGAAAACAAGAATAGATCCACTGCCTTCCCAACAAGCATGTTGTAAGAGTCGACTAACTGGTGGTTTCCTTCTAAATTGAAGTGCAGCTGCCTGAGAGGCAAGAAACCAACAGTCTGCATACATATAAGCCAGATCTGTAAAACGGATGTGCCCACAAGACTCAGGTTCTGGAACAAGTCTAAAGAAGTCCAGGGGTGGATGAGCAACCAAAACTTTCCACCAGATTTACAGCCTGTGAATGCGAAGAAAAAGAAGATAATACTTCGAGTCAGAACATTAAACAAATTTAATTAAAACACACTTAACTGAGTATCTTTTTTCTGTGTTCCCCATTTAAAGAGCAGTTGGCGTTCTGTGTTGTGGTTTACAACTAGGCTGTGAGATCTCCACCTTTTGGCACAACACATTTGATTTCTGCAAATCCTTAATCACTCACCTTTTATTAAATCCTTATTAAGGGGCAGTGAGTCTCATCTTTTCTCTTTCCCGCGGGTCACACAGGGAAACCTGAGTATCAACCAGGAGGATTCCGCCACCCTGTTTTTACTATCCCTGGGGTAGCAGAAAGAAAATAGGGGCTTTTGAGCTGTAATGCTTCAGAAAGATTCTCAGAATACCATGGACAAAGAAGAGAAGAATTACTGACTTTTTAATATAAGGAAGATTGGCTAATAAACAGCATCTTGTCTTGGAAGCTGAAATATTTTGGTCATATCAAGCGCCATGGCAGATTTGAAAAAATAACAGCAAAAAGCATGGTACCAGGAAGAAGGGGTAGGGGCCAACCAATAAGAATATGGGCACAGGATATAAGTGACTCCTTGAATCTGAAAGTACATGAGGCTGGAGAGTTGGCGAGAGACTGAGTTTTTTTCAGGCAGACTGTGATGACAGCGACCTTCTGCAAAGGATCTGTTTCAGAAAGATGATGATGAGGGGTAGGACAAATATATAAGCATTATTACTAATGTGGACACAATACATTACTTAATTTACTGCCTGGTATATTTTGCTGTAACTCGTCAGGTGCATTACTACAGAGCAAAATCAACATAAAATGAAACACAAAAAATGAATCCTGAAATGCATACATTGCAGTCAAGTTGGGCTTTTCATCAGTCATGTGATTACCATGGTAACTTCAAATTTAGAAATTCAGGAATTCTGTAGTAACGCCAGGCAATAACTTGTGCACTCTATGGTCTGTGTCCACATTATTTAAATTTACAACAGGGAAACACTGTTTTGAATACAAACATTCTATCAGTTATCATTAGCCTGGCTCGCTAGCATAGTTGGTTAAACCTGACTTCTGGCGACTGGGTGACGAACTCTTTGTGGTCCGGGTTCATGCCCGGGGGTAGGCAGAAAAACCACATTTCTCCCAAATTTACTGTATCTATCATGGAATCAAGGCCGAAGGGTTGCGATATCCATAGTACCGAGCCATAGGGTTAACAACTCATGGTTTCTAGATATTTAAAAACTATTATGTTATTATTGTATTATGACCTGCCATGGCTGATCCCAATCAAGAGGAATTGGTATAGCACCGAGCCAGGATCCCAGCAGAGCACTCAGACTTGTGAAGTAGACTACAGTTTCCAACCCCACATGTGAGCTGCAATAAAGGAAAACAGTGTTTAAAAACACATCAGTCAACAAATATTTCATGAAACAAACTCTCTGTGTGAGTTCCGGGGCTCTATTGTGGGGAAAACAAGAACAGACTCACTGCCTCCCAAACAAGCATGTAATAGATGTTGACTAACTGGTAGCGTACTTCCAAGTTGGAGTACATCTGCCTAAGAGGCAAGGAACCAAGAGTCTGCATACAAAGAAGTAAGATTTATGAAATGGATGTGCAAGCAACACTCAGGTTCCGGAACAAGACTAAGTCCGGAAGTGGATGAACACCCAAAACTTTCCGCTGGAGTTTACAGCCAGTAAACATGAAAAAGAAGAAGAAGAAGAAGATTAAACAAATATGCAACATATTTGCAAAATCTGTGCAGGAAGCATCAACTTCTAATGTATATTTCAAGGACAAATATTTACATTTATTTTGAGAAAGGTACTTATCAATCAATCAGGTGCCCTCTGCACAATGAAGGTTGGCTGCAATGGATCTCCAACATACTCTGTCTTGCTTGTACACTCAGACTCAGAGTGCTGTTCGTTAATCTCTTAATGCTGTCCTCCCACTTCAATCGCTGCCTACCTTTTGCTAATTAAAACTGTATATGCGCTCTTGCACTTATAATTTTTTTCAAAGTTTAATCTGTCTAATGAGTTTTTGTGTCTTGTTAACAAATTTAAATCTAATGTATATACTGTTGTAGGATTAGAAATGAAGAATGACTAAAACAATAATTAATAAACTATAAACATTCATTAGTTAGCATAGAAAAGGAGCAAAATGGCATAACAGAATCATTGTGAATCACTACTGTGGAGCTTGGGAAAGAACTGAACAAATTTCAGCATATAGGCACTGGCATAGGCTACACACTGGGGGTAAACCCTGAAAAAAGTATAAATATAATTACCTTTCATTGGATCCAACAGGACAAATGAGATAGAGGGAGACTCAATCCCACATTGAGAAGCTAAGCAGGTACAGAGCAACATAAAGAAAGGACATTTCATTGGAACGATAGGCCAAAAGAGACAGAGGGTGTCAATCCCACATTGAGAGGGTAAGCAGCTGCAAGGTAAAATTTAGAAAGAAAAAACCTTTTATTGGAACAGACAGGACAAAAGAGACAGAGGAAGACAGCCCCAAACTGAGAAGGTAAGCAGAAACTGATAGGACAAAACAGATAAAGAGAGACAACTCCACACTGAGAAGGTAAGCAGAAACTGATAGGACAAAACAGATAAAGAGAGACAACTCCACAATAAGAAGGTAAGCAGAAACTGATAGGACAAAACAGATAAAGAGAGACAACTCCACACTGAGAAGGTAAGCAGAAACTGATAGGACAAAACAGATATAGAGAGATAACTCCACACTGAGAAGGTAAGCAACTACAGAGTAACATGGAGGCCATGGAATGAACTGCCTGAGCTACAGTGTTTGTGCTTTCTGTGTTAATCTCGGCAAGTGGCTAGTCATTCTGCAGAGAGAGACAGAGCCATATGATATTAAACCCTGTGCAATGAAGCCAATTTTCTCGACTTCACCTTTAAACCTTTATTTTTAGAAATATATTTAAATATATGTAAAAAACATGAAGCAAAAAAAATGAAGCAAAAGAATGATTGCATTCACAAACCTTTTGTCAATAAAAACTTCGAACCAGTTTTCAATGCTTGGCCCAAAAAAGAGACAAAATGGAAGACAGACTAACACTGTCAGCAGTATGGCAAAATGCAATGTCTCTGTGGCTGACCTGTACCAGTTAAAAACAAGAACTATTTGATTATTTTTGATACATTATCTCTTTTACTTTGTTCATAACAGGACATAAATGAGTTGTGTGTGTTCACAACATGGTTGTGATATTTGTGCCCTCTGGCTTTCCAGGATACATTAACACAATGAGTGTGAACATAAAATACTTTTCTGAACGTCTAGTGACCTATCCATATCTTATACATACTGATTTTACTCGAGTTATTATTATAACTCTTTCTGTCTCATAGTTCTACTTCTTCTTCTTCTTTTGTTCGCTTCAAATAGATTATCTATATCGGCAATGTTGTCTCTCGTACGAACTTCAATGTCTGTTGTAATTCAATCAGCAACCCACAAAGTTTGGCTTGCGTCAGTGTTTGTCTTGGTCAAAAGTTTTGCCTTGATATGTTGTATTCGGGACAGTCATGGTGGACATGATCTGTTGTCTCGGGTACACATGGCTAATTCGCCAATCACACATTCTGTTTAAATGTAGCTGAAAAGACAATTGTGTCCTGTTTAAAGGTGTAGAATAATGACTTGCTCTGGCCTTTATTCTTTGTCTTTATTCTGTCTCATAGTGTTTTAATAACTGCTAAGGCCCAAACAATTAAGGCTAACAATGTCATAGAATATTATGAGTTGAAGCAACACGTCAAGAAATCAATTTACTGAACATAAACTATAACTAGGTAGCTCAACAAAGGAAAGAAAACAAAACACACATATACAGCAACAATCACATATTTCGACCAAAGCCTTTTTTCATGATCACCTTAACAACAAGAAGAGTGAGAGTCAAAACAGTCAAGACGGTGAAATGTTTCTTTACATCCCCCTCCCCTCCTTCACACTTCATATTCACAGTTTGTGTTCAGCGGATTAGTTCTACAATTCTTCTATACATCATATATTTTTTAATTTTAAAAAAAAGAAGCAGTATCTAATGATCTGTCATTACTGTGTGTATTTACCACTTTTCTGGGAGGTGATGACAGGGGTCATAAGCTTGAGGATTTAGGGACGCATGGCTAGTACTGTCAGAAATGAATGTGCAAGTTCGGGTGTTAATTTTTGCCCCCAACAGAAAAACATCAAGTCTCCTGCATGAGAGTCTGATATTGTAACCACTCACTCAATCGCTGCTCTATCCAATGATCAACATTGTTTATTATTACAAACAATAAAAATTAAAAGACCCTTTTCAGGTCAGTGGCTCTTTGGAAATATGGTGTTGGGACTCATTTTTATAGAATGATTAGCCCCCAAAGGGTGATGTGATCAATATCATGCCAACCGCTTTTATTTCTTATGACATTTTCTGGCAATCATTTCGGCCTTGGAGCCAGAGTCAACTGTAAACAATTTGACTTGATACAGAAACAAACCCTAGACCTTCTAGTTAGCATCTAGCCACTATGCCTTTGTGGCTCCCCATTTTGTTTATTAAACAGTGAGTTCACAATGAGTAATTGTGTCAACAATGAGTTAATGTGTCAGCAATGAGTTAATGTATCAACAATAAGTAAATGTGTCAAACACTAAATATTTTTATTTGCTTGCTTGATAAGTGGGGCTCCAAAACAGATGGCAATGACATGAAATGTAAAACAGGCAAGCACTAGAAGGCAGCAACATTTTGCAATGTTTACAATCTGAAAAAGATGAAAATACCAGACAAATCAGTAAATGAAAGCAAAAGGTTTTCTATTTGGCATATGATACAACTGGTGCTCAATGTCTTTCATGTTAATCCAAGCCTCTTCAAAACCTGGCACTTCCTGTGTGGGTTCAGGGGTTTCATTCTGGAGAACAAATAACAGACCCACTGCCTCCCTGCCAACAAGCATATCACAGGAGGTGACTAATCAGGGGGTGTTTCAAAGTCTAAGTGTATCTCTCTGAGAGGTAATGAAGCAAACAGTCTGCATACAAATAAGCCAGATCTGTAAAATGGATGTGCACCCAAACTCAAGTTTTCTCAATCAAGACCAAAGTCTAGTAGCGAACGAACAACCAGAACTTTCCGCCTTAAGAACTTCTGAAAAAATACAAAATTTACTTATGAATTGAATGACAGTCCTTGAAATAAATTTACCACCCTCAGAAAGTGAGGTCAACATCTTAGCCACCGACCCCCCCCCCATACCCCTTTTTCTCTAAACAAATATTAATTGAACAATCTAATACTGTAAAAGGACTTTTTCCAGGTATACTGGGTATTTGGTGTTAGACCTATATTTTACAGTCTAATTGGCACTCTGTGGATGATGTGGTCAATTTCCTGCCGTCAACTTCTATTTCCAGGACTTTACCTGGCACATATTTGAGGCTCAGTCAAAAGGTCTTTTTTTTTTTTTTTTTTTTTTTTTAAATCTGGCTCGATGCAGATGTGAGCCCAACAACCTTTGAGCCTGAGGAAAGAATCTAGCCACTACACCATGGCAGCTCCTAAATCAAATATTGTAGAAACAAATGATTACAATAAATGATGATACAATAAAAATATCATAAACTCTGAATACCTTAGCAACATAATTAACAACAATGGACACTTCGGAAAAAAAGCAACAGTACGATGAGGTCTTGTAAAAGTAAAGGACCCTTTTTCCCCCACACCTTCAGGCATACTGAACATATAGTACTATATCTATATTTTACAGATAAACTGGCATTCAATGGGCAATGTGGTCAACATCATGCCAGTCACCTTTACTTCCCAGAACTTTACCTGGTACCCATTTAAGGCTGGGTCATCCTGAAAGGCGTCCGTGGCTAAGGCGTTGCGAGTCCGACTCGTAAGCCAGCATACCGCGATCGAAACCCACTGCAGGCAGCGTGGATTTTTGTCGTGGTATGGGACGTCGCAGGTCGACCCAGCCTAAAATGGGTACCAGGATGGGCTGTCCTGGGAAAGTAAAGACAGCCGGCGTAATGCTGACCACATTACCCACAGAGTGCTGATGGTCTGTAAAAATATGGGACGCTCTGCCCATATGCCCGATGCGCCGAAAGGCGTGAAAAGGGATCTTTACTTTTTTTTTTTAACATCCTGGAAGCCTATGTCCTTTTTTTTTTAAATTCTGGCTGCATTTGGATTTTAACCCATGGCCTTAAGATCAGATCGCACAACTTTAAAAAAAAAAAGTTTACTTTAATATTAAATGCTATCAAGGTGAAGATGTTTTAGAACTGATCTCTATGGCAGGTTAACTCGGCCTAAAGCTGATATCAGGAAATGTACAGAGAAGTGCGATGCATGGTGTGATACTGACTTAACTTATCAAGTGTCTATTTGTGTATCTGATTTTGGGTTCAGTCTCACATGCCTCAAAGTGTCCAAAAATATTTTTACAATTTCAAATGCTTCCTTAGTGTTTACAATAACCATATCACTGATTAAAATCGAGAATGATTTATTCATAACTGGACAATGAGCTATTTTTAAAACACTTAAGGACTTGCCAAACTGGATTAGACATCAAATTAGACATGGTCTCGAGGCATGCTGTTCGCCTCGAGTGCTGGAGGTTCTGGGTTCAATTCTTGGTAATGGCTGGGACTTTTTCACATGGACTTGGACTTCTAGTAATTTCCCCTGGTCTCTGGGTAGTGAGATCGGACACCTGTGTACATTGTCGCGCACGTAAAAAATTCCCTTGGCAGTTGGAAATCAAAAAAGAGTAGCCTCACGACGCTGCCTGGTCAAAATTTGTAGTTAAAAATCCACCCAAAGTATTTCAGCATCCTCGTTGGTGCTATAGAGTCTGTGCACTATGCTAAGCTTTTTCAGAAACAGACCTGAGTTAGAAGAAGAATGGAGCACTTATGGGTTACTACCAGTGTGGCCATTATGTTGATCCGTTGTTCAAACCTCAAACTAAAGGGCAGCAAGAATGACAAGTACAGGACCATTTTTACACCTGTAGTGCCTCAGGCATATTGTGCTAACCCATGTTTTGTACATGCAAATTGGCACTAGACGGGTAAGGACATAACACAGTATATTATCTACTATTGGATTTATCAAGGTACATGTATTGTTGAATAAAAACAAAATGGAATGAGAGGAGATTTAACAGGACATTTAGTAGCAATGTTTAATGTTGAATTAAGAACTGATATCACAGCACTTGGGACACTCCTATAAGTGCTCCGCTCCCATTTTCAGCAGTAAGCCAAGAGCTCCAATTCCAGTGGCACTAGTAACTGTTTGATTGTATATTCAACTCGTTTTTCCCTTGAATGTTGGCCATATCCTCTAATAACTCCTCACAGTGCCAGTCTCCTCAGAATTATTGTATGTACAAAATGGTGACTCATTCGGATGAAAAAAAAAATTTGCTTCACCAATCTGTTAACTCTTTGAGTCCCAAGGAACGCATCACGCGCTCATTTTTTACTACTTTGCGGCCCAAACAGCGCATGACGTGTGGCGGTTTTTAATTTACCACTTATCGGTAATTACACGTGGACCGCTCAATTTAAACTTCCTTTCCGGTTCTCAAGTGTGTAGTGTACACACGTGGAGTGCATTCGTTTGGGTCTTGTGAGTTTTTAACGCTTTAAATCTATATTTGTGTGGTCTACTACATTACCAAACAATTGTCTGAAAACAATATGTCCGATCAGTCATCGTCTTCACGCCCATCAAAGCGATTTACTGCTTTAGAATCATCAAATTTGATAAAACACTGGATCAATTAAAGTAATGTGGAGTTGGATAATGATAGTAGCGACATGAAATTTCCCCAAACCGTTGACGAGTCAAGTTTTGATGAGGATGTGTGCGTAATTTACCTCCTGCTAAGAGGACAAAACTGACTAATTCTGCCTTGGCAATACAAGAGAAGCACCTCGTAACGCGACACCAGCTGGTCCAAATGTCAGCGCTTCTAGTACTACTATCCATATCATCTAAAACCATAGATATATATCTATGAACAGATTGACATGTTTACAGTGCCTTTACAGTTTTTTTCTATGTGAGGAATTCAATTATTTTTAGAAAAGTCACTGTTTGTGCCACTGGAGAATATATTTTGACGTGTTATTGTAGTGTTATTAAAATTAGTATGCAACAAAAACTATTGCACATTTCGCTTTAATAATGGCTGTGCATACTTATAAGTGGTGTACCTTCCTTTGTGATGCATTTTGGATATACTATATCAAGAATTTTGGGATCAGCTTTTGGGTAAGTGGAAAAAACTTGTTCATAATTTACTCACTTCTCAAACTAAGTCACTGTTTTCTCTACTAAAAACTAACTAACAGTATAACTGTTTGTTGTAGCAGTATGCTAATATTAATCCTTATCCATTTATGTTTAATTTTATGTATGATACGTGCATATTGGACATCAGCTGCAGTTGTGTGGTTTGTTTTAAAGTGCTGCATTTGTTAAAAGTCAAAATCATATTACCCCCCTTGGGCCTCTGGTGCAAAACCTCCTGGGACTCAAAGAGTTAAAACAGAGGCAAGGACAATATGAATATTCATTGATGATTTTGTTCTGTGTATGGAGGATGTTTAGCCCATAGGTGTACGTTTTGTCACTGAGTTCAGTAATGATCTATTTGTGCCTCTGCACCGTTCACTCGCTCCCAGAGGGACCTCACAACATCTAGCTTGTCACACATCAATTCACCGCCCAGTGGTACAGAACCGGCCAGTCTATCTCACTGCTCGTTTCCCAACACACTGGGTCACTGGCATTACATCATATAGTCGCAATAGCAAGCAAATGCGTGTTTAGTCTTTGCCTCGTTTATTTCCCTGTAGATATAAATATAATAGTTTTATGCGACTGACAAAACATATTCACAAAGACAAACCAACCCGAAAGCCGGACTCGAGGCTGTTTGGTGCGTACACATAAAATAATATGAAGTTCAGTAAACAATGTACACAGCCAGCCGTTATGCAGATTTTCACCCCATTCACTGGATTGGACGTGATACTGAATGGTCCTTCATTTTTTATCAGTAAATATATCAGGAGTCCTATCAGTAAAGACGCTAGAAACGACGCCAAAGATAATGTAAGTATATATCGTTTACTGGACCGCATTTTGTAGTTACCAGTTGTAAACAGTTGAATGTAATCCCCAAACGTCAGTATATTAAAAAGTATGCTGGGATAGGGAATAGATAATTCTTTCACTGAAGATAACATAATAACCTAACATTTTAGTATTTGTAACATAACATGCATATTTAGTTTTACATATTATGAAACAATAAATTACATGTGTTTAAAAAATAAAGTGGAATTTTCCTTTAATTTTTGATTTGGCCTCTGTACTCCGTTAATATTTTTTTTTTTCAAGATGGCAGCGCCCTTCAATGCAATGTTTATCAACGTAGTCTAATGTCAAGTTATCACAGGCACTGGCAATGGTTACAGGTTCTTACGGGACATTCTGTGCACAAGAATAGTACTGGAACATTGACAATTGTAGCTGGATAATTCTTGTTTGAAAACCACGTTTCTAACGGTATAAATTATGTGCAAATCGGCCAATTAAACTAGAGTACTTTAGTTAAATTTTCAGAATTATTTTTAAAGGCTCTCCTTCGAACTTCTACCCGATATTATGGCGGCCAAACAAATACCCTAACAGGGCCTCAGTCCTATGCAGACGCGGACTTCCTGCGACGAACACATCGCGGCAAAACTAGGATCGGCTTCGAATAATGAAACAAATGCTCTAACAGAGTCACAGCGATATGTCGGACCTGTTTCTGCGACTATTTTGCACCGCCGACAGTATCCCCCGCGCGCTATGCGTGCAAACTAGATGGCTGGGACTCATGAGCAGCAGCTACGGCATCTCCTGCAACTTCCTCCAATTTATTTGCTTGTGAGTCCCAGGCATCTAGTTTAGATCCCCATTCGCGCTGCGCTAAGCGCCGTGGGGGATACACTTGGCAGTGAGTTTAATCAAAAGAAAACTATCGCTAATCTGCGTCTGAGCACGTGGTCTCCCTGCCATATGAGGATGCACTCAGCGGTGAGTTTAATCGAAAGAACAGTATTGCTAATCTGCGTCTGAGCGCGTGATCTCCCCGCCATGTCGATTTTATCTGTAATGTTGCGTGTCTCAAAATTGTCAATAGTAGCTAGTGTCGTCTGCTAGTATCGCCTGCAGAAATGCTCGAAATTGTCAACGGTCGCTATTATCATTTGCTGTTATCATGTTGCATCTCTTGAAATTGTCAAGTAATTCTAGTTTTGCCCCGGTCTGTTCATCGCAGGAAATCCACACTTTACACATGACACATCGCCACCATAATATCGGGTAGAAGTTTGGAGGAGAGCCTTTTTAAACAAAGTAAACAATTAGCATAGCATTTAGCTGGATTGACAAACAATTGCAATATCCAACAACGGTACCTCATTCAAGTCTGTACGTCAGTTCTAGGGGCCACATTAGCGCAGTCGATTGGAGTCTTGCTTTCAAATGCAGCTGCGACTCGCTGGGTACTAGAGTTAATACTCTGGGGTAAATGAAGGAATGTCGACTGATTCCTTCAATATGGCTACATTCATATATATATAGTTATACACATACTTTTGCATTATAGAATTTGTTCCTGTAATGTTGCTTCAGTCATGAATATACCTTTGCATTATAGAAGCTTGTTCCTTTAATATTCCTACAATCATACACATACTTTTGCATTATAAAACTTGTTCCTTTAAAAACTGCTACAATCATACACATACTTTTGTATTATAGAACTTGTTCCTTTAATATTGCTACACTACAGCCATACACATACTTTTGCATTCTAGAAACTTGTTCCTTTAATATTGCTCTAGTCTTTTGTATTTTAGAACTTGTTCCTTTATTATTGCTATTTTTATACGCACACAATTTTTGCATTATAAAAACATGTTCCTTTAATATTGTTACAGTCGGCTTGCTAAAGTCAAACATGCTGACAGCAAAGCTCAACAGTATATCTCTTGGCACGGCTCTGAAGCACATCTGCCAGCATTGCTACAAGAGATTGCTCGTTCACCTTAATGATACACACCTTATTACATCAGGCACATCGCTCCAGGTAGATAGTTTTGTCCTTAAATGTGCTGTAATGCTTCAGGGTCATCATCATAAACTACTTCTGGTGTTAAAAATATAGGGGAGGAATAATTTGCAATCCAGGGCATGCTGACTGGCACTGGCTGTTGCTTCAGGTTGTTTACTGCAAATTTGTCAGGTTTTCAAGCTTAAAAATATCCTTTTGAAATTAGGGGTTGACTTATATGCTGGGATAAAATTAATTAGGTAGGAATAAGATGGGATAAGATTAGGTAGGATTAGACTGAACTCAGAACTGTGAGCTAAAATTCTTGAGGTTTATTTGTACACTGAATTAATTGTATGTTATTTGGTCTGCAGTGTTAAATATGTTTAGTAATACAAGAAGCGGCAACAAGTTTTTAACTTTGATATCAAGGAACAAGGCTCATTCCTAGAAGTTAGTGGGAACTGAAGTCCTTCTCTGCATATTCACCCCTGCAAGATGGTGCTCTCCTTCATGTTCCTGATGCTTTTATTCTAGTATTGTCTGAGTCTGGAACTGCATCTCCAGCTCAATAATAAAGTCTTCTTGTTTGAAAATGTCAAGCTTGGAAGCACACTCAGAAGTTACCCTATGTCAAGTCCTGTTAAGTGTGGTGAATGAAGCATGCTATATCTGCACTGCTTGGCAAGAACAGTTTTGCACTGAGCTGCATGTGCCTACCAGTGCGTTAGATTCCTGAGCTGCATGTGTCCACCAGTGCGTTAGATTCCTGAGCTGCATGTGCCTACCAGTGCGTTAGATTCTTGAGCTGCATGTGCCTACCAGTGCGTTAGATTCTTGAGCTGCATGTGCCTACCAGTGCATGAGATTCTTGAGCTGCATGTGTCTACCAGTGCATGAGATTCTTGAGCTGCATGTGCCTACCAGTGCGTTAGATTCCTAAGCTGCATGTGCCTACCAGTGCATTGTATTCTTGAGCTGCATGTGCCTACCAGTGCATGAGATTCTTGAGCTGCATGTGCCTACCAGTGCATTAGATTCTTGAGCTGCATGTGCCTACCAGTGCATGAGATTCTTGAGCTGCATGTGCCTACCAGTGCGTTAGATTCCTTAGCTGCATGTGTCTACCAGTGCGTTAGATTCCTTAGCTGCATGTGTCTACCAGTGCGTTAGATTCTTGAGCTGCATATGCCTACCAGTGCGTTAGATTCTTGAGCTGCATGTGCCTACCAGTGCGTTAGATTCTTGAGCTGCATGTGCCTACCAGTGCATGAGATTCTTGAGCTGCATGTGCCTACCAGTGCGTTAGATTCTTGAGCTGCATATGCCTACCAGTGCGTTAGATTCTTGAGCTGCATATTCCTACCAGTGCGTTAGATTCTTGAGCTGCATGTGCCTACCAGTGCATTAGATTCTTGAGCTGCATGTGCCTACCAGTGCGTTAGATTCTTGAGCTGCATGTGCCTACCAGTGCGTTAGATTCTTGAGCTGCATGTGCCTACCAGTGCGTTAGATTCTTGAGCTGCATGTGCCTACCAGTGCGTTAGATTCTTGAGCTGCATGTGCCTACCAGTGCATTAGATTCTTGAGCTGCATGTGCCTACCAGTGCGTTAGATTCTTGATCTGCGTGTGCCTACCAGTGCGTTAGATTCTTGAGCTGCATGTGCCTACCAGTGTGTTAGATTCCTGAGCTGCATGTGCCTACCAGTGCGTGAGATTCCTGAGCTGCATGTGCCTAACAGTGCGTTAGATTCCTGAGCTGCATGTGCCTACCAGTTGTTAGATTCTTGAGCTGCATGTGTCTACCAGTGCATTAGATTCTTGAGCTGCATGTGTCTACCAGTGCGTTAGATTCTTGAGCTGCATGTGCCTACCAGTGCGTTAGATTCTTGAGCTGCATGTGCCTACCAGTGCGTTTAGATTCTTGAGCTGCATGTGCCTACCAGTGCGTTAGATTCTTGAGCTGCATGTGCCTACCAGTGCGTTAGATTCTTGAGCTGCATGTGCCTACCAGTGCGTTAGATTCTTGAGCTGCATGTGCCTACCAGTGCATTAGATTCTTGAGCTGCATGTGCCTACCAGTGCATTAGATTCTTGAGCTGCATGTGCCTACCAGTGCATTAGATTCTTGAGCTGCATGTGCCTACCAGTGCGTTAGATTCTTGAGCTGCATGTGCCTACCAGTGCATTAGATTCTTGAGCTGCATGTGCCTACCAGTGCATTAGATTCTTGAGCTGCATGTGCCTACCAGTGCGTTAGATTCCTGAGCTGCATGTGCCTAACAGTGCGTTAGATTCCTGAGCTGCATGTGCCTACCAGTCGTTAGATTCTTGAGCTGCATGTGTCTACCAGTGCATTAGATTCTTGAGCTGCATGTGCCTACCAGTGCGTTAGATTCTTGAGCTGCATGTGTCTACCAGTGCGTTAGATTCTTGATCTGCATGTGCCTACCAGTGCATTAGATTCTTGAGCTGCATGTGCCTACCAGTGCATGAGATTCTTGAGCTGCATGTGCCTACCAGTGCATGAGATTCTTGAGCTGCATGTGCCTACCAGTGCATGAGATTCTTGAGCTGCATGTGCCTACCAGTGCATTAGATTCTTGAGCTGCATGTGCCTACCAGTGCATTAGATTCTTGAGCTGCATGTGCCTACCAGTGCGTTAGATTCTTGAGCTGCATGTGCCCACCAGTGCATGAGATTCTTGAGCTGCATGTGCCTACCAGTGCATGAGATTCTTGAGCTGCATGTGCCTACCAGTGCGTTAGATTCTTGAGCTGCACGTGCCTACAAGTGTATTAGATTCTTTTTAGGTTGTCTTCTTAATGTTCAGGTCTCACATGCTTACAAATGTACAAGCATTATTTGTGAAACGAAAAAAATAAATAAGATAATAACCCTTACATTAATTCTTGTTAGATAAACGTTTTATGATGTCCTTAAACAATTGATTGTGCTTTAATCTTACCTCCTCCCCACTATTGAAGAAAGTTTATGGTAAGAGTCAAGCCAGACTGTATTTAACATTTACTAAAGAATAGTTGATTTGACCGTTTGGCAAGAATGCTTAATACAAACGGCTGAAGAAATATAATAACACAGAGCAAGAGGAAGACAGTGCATAACATGGAACAAGCACATCAAAAACTGCCTTAAAGAAATTATGATCAGCGTATGCAACAGATTTTTAAAAAAGCACACAGAAGATCCTTGCACCCACTTTTTTTTCCCTTTCATTACTTTGATGAGGTAGCTGGAAGAAGAGAAGAAGAAGGAGAATAAAATATCTAACTTAAATATTCGGGACTTGTGTCTCATGACTGCCGTTGTTTGGAGCTGAAACATGAAGAACTAAACCAGTTATTAATAAACTACAAACATTTATTAACCTAATTACAGGTATGGCTTAATCACTTATGTGGATCTTTTGGAGAAAACTACAAATTCTAGTGAACCAAGAGATGAAGGAAAGATGCTTGTATTGTTTAGGACACACTTGAAAACCTGATAATATAATATACCTGATTGAGAAAACCTGATAATATAACTAGAAGGTTCCAGGGTGAGATAAATAAAAGCCACACACACAAACACAAAACATGAAGTTAATTAAAGAGTGAAGTGAAATGAAAAACTTATGAAAAGTGCATGACAGCTACAGAGGATAGCAGAAGATTGGATGACTGTAAGTTGGCGGAGAGCCTATATGCCACTGAGGGAGTAGTTTAAAGGAAAAAGAAAGTATCTAAAACAAAAAAGGCAATCCGTTATTAGTACATATTGAATTTATAATCCTGAAGTACACATCTATTTTGCAGTAATTCTATGTTTTTAATTTTCTTTTTCATAAATACAGCTTGGACCAAAAGTACATTCTGAATTGAAGTATTTCACAAGGAAGTTTCACAAGGTCTCAGCTTTGCAATCATTAGAGAAAAAGACATCATCACTTTTCAACCATTCAGAATCATCGCAACCTTCAGAGTGGGACAGCCCTTTTCAGTTACCAGTTCCTGAACTTGATTGGGCATTTCTGTTGGATAGAAAGAATACTGAATTTATAGCAAATAATATACTGAACAGAAAAGGCATTGGAGATATATACAAAGTGGTATGTTGATTATAGTTCCTTTTCTTTGATGTGACTCAATAATTTAAAAAAATGTAAGTGTAACTTCTTTGTCTTTTCTTTCCACTAAAATTTTTTTTCTCCAACTTTGTGCTTTTAAAGGAGTGTTGACACACTGTGCTTTACAGCTGGGATGTGATATCTGTGTCTTTCGGCCTAACATTCAATTTCAGCAGACTTCTAATTAGTTGCATTTTACTAAATGCTTGCATTAGGTCATATTCTTATTCCCCTCATGGGCCTGATTGTGTGGGCAAGAAGAATGGACCAACTGCCTATTTTGAGTCCCAAGGAACGTATCACACGTTCATAGGTTTCCTACATAGAAGCCCAATGATGCGTGCCGATTTATGTCTCTTTTGACTACCCCTTGGGCCTCTGATGCTAAACCCCCTGAGACTCGAAGAGTTAATAAGCATGTCATAAAAGTAAACTAATTACAGGTGTTTCCTTTGAAGTCAGAGAGCATTTGCCTGAAAACAAAGGAACCAATAGGCTGCATACAAATAGGCCAGATCTGTAAAATAGATGTGTATTAGACAGACTGTCTACATCGGGGCAGGATACAAAGAATTCAAAGTCATTTTCCTTTCTAAGTAATGCACAAACTGACCACGGCGAGTGGGGACAAAAGTTAGTCTGATATTTTTCTTGATAAGATTCCATTGTTTAAGTCTTGATCCCCTTGTGGGTGTGGAGGGTGGAACTAAGGGAAGAATTGGTCTAGGAAGATCCTAGCACTCTACTCCAGGCCGTGGCTCAGAGTTACAATACAGAGTTGTCCACAACTCTCGCAACAACTGCGACTCCAACTTTAACCTATAATTAATTGTAGTCATCATATTATTACGAAAAAAAAAGTTCTGGTGATCCTTTGCCGAAAGTGCTAAGAACTGAAATGTACTCTTTAAAAAAAAAAAAAAGTTGGGTGTGCTACCCACTATACTAAAATTGCATTTGAAAGCAACTGAAAATAAGACCAGTATTGTGTGATAGATAGACACATGCATTGTCTTTTGTATAGTACAGAAGAAAATTAGTTTCAGTCATCATGTCAGTAGGTGACCATGTCCTCTTGTTGATGATAGCTGGGTCAGATGGTCTTGCTCACAACCAGAAGTACACATGTCCGCCGGTGTGCCCAGCTACTAACTCACACATATCAAAATGATCCTTTATATCACTCCATGAAAGAAACTCCAGTAATTCTTCATCAACTTTAATTATCCAGTTTTTTTTTTCTTGCCATTTTGTATTTTGTTTTAAAATGTCGACTAATGCAGAACCAGAAATATATTTCAGGGCAAAAAATACACAATTCATCTATGGTAAACAAAGCAACAGGATAATGTGGAATGCATCTAAATACACCTTAACTCTTGAGATAGGGTTTGTAGTAGTATTTAAATGTCAGTTGGGTAATGTGTCTTGCCATTTCACCCCCGAGAATTAAGGTACTTAGCAGTCTGCAAGGAAATTTGAAATCGTGTTTTTACATCCATAGCAGTGAGGGCACATAAAATCGGAAGACGCAGAAATGCGTCCTTAGCACTCTATGGAGCAAACATATAATTACATCCATAGCAGGCAGTGAAAGGGTTAACACATTTTAGAGGCATCCCTACTGCTGGATTTAAGCTGCAGGGATAAAATTACTTGTTCACATTCTTTTACTAATGTTTGCATCATTTTTGCTGAACATTAATTTGCACCCCACAAAATTTGCACCTAGAACGATAAGCCTGGCACCAGTCACATGAAAAAAGTCCTTCATTGTTTTATACGTTTTTGAGTTTGCCTAATGTGGTTCAGTATATCATCCAAAAAAGAATACTGTAATTTTTGTTCTTACTTTTTCAGATTTCTCTTTCTGAGCAACTTGATAAAGAGCAGAATGTAGGTACACTTCCATTCGCTTACAGCATTTTTGTGTGTGCATGTTTAGGAAAACTGTATCTCCACAGTTGATACAGGAGTGAGACACTGATGTTTGCTCACCCTTCTCGGTTTTAATATCCAAATATAGTATCTAAATAAATAACTTTTAAAGCAGTCAATCAAGAAAATCCAGAAAATGAGGAACTTTACATTCCAGTTGAAAGATTCTGTTCACCGACAGTAAATGAGCTACTGTTAGCAGACAGTCAGTATCTGTTCTACAGTTATGTGTGTGTGCATGTGGGGGGGGGGGGGGGGGGTGGAACAGATTACAAGATTAAAAAAAAGGCTGTAAAAAATGTGTGTCTTTTTTAGGTGTAAGTTGTTCCGCTACTGAACTTTTGTAATTATGAGGGGGATGGGGAGCTTAATGGATGGAAAACAGTCTTACGGCGAATCTTTGGACCCATCAAAGATGCAGACAGCTGGGAATGGAGAGTGAGAAGCAACAATAAAATTCATAATCTGTTTAAATCACTATTGATAAATGGCATCGTGAGAGCTAATAGACTGAAATGGTTGGGGCATATTGAGAGAATGTCAGATGACAGAGAAGTGAAAACTCTTTACACAAGGAAGATGAATGGTCGTAGACCGCAAGGGGACCAAGAAGATTATGGTGAGATAATGTCAGACAGATCTGCAAACACTTGTTGTCACCAACTGGAAAGAGAAGGCCAGTCAGAGAGATGAATGGTGGCGAGTGCTATCTGCAACAATAAACCTCAAGGGCTCGGAATGCTAAAGAAGAAGAAGAAGTGGGGAGCTCAGAGTTTGTGATAAAAACATCTACCTTTGACTCTTGCACATTTGATTCATTTCTTGGTATGGAATGTGGGCTTTTATAAAGTAGTTAATCAGATCAAGGGGTAAAGAAAAGACATGGCATTTGATAGGATACACATGGAGAAAACCTACTAACAATATAACTACAACGTCCTTGCATTAGAACCCACAGGATTGAAGAAATAAAGGCAGACCAAAACAGAAAGTATACAGGTAAGAGAATGAGGTGAAAAGTTTGGATGTATATAGAATCTAGGAGATCTATTCAGTTAAATTGTTACTTGCATTTCCAGCATCACAGTAAATGGAGCACCCCATAATTGTTCCATCCCTTACCACATAATGCCCATTGCTGTTCCTTGTGAAGAAATTTAAACAGACTGCTATTTTGATGAAACCAACACCATGCATAAACATTTTATGCATAAGGCAGCCGTCAGAAGTGCCAGCATTATCATTTACAGTCCCTTATCAATGGAAGCAGCAGTCACATCAAATTAGCAGTTGCACTCTGCTAATCGCTTAAGGTGCCACCAGCCCCTTGCAGCACAGTCACCATTATTCTGAATCTGCAGTATACAACACAAACCACATTGGGCACAATCAAAAAATCATTCTATATGAGATCCACATCTGAAGGTGTCATGTCATGTACTCAGCAGCTGGCTGACGGAACTATGTAATATCAATCCACATATAGGGAAAAATGCAGTAGCAGACCATTTCCTGAAGCAAATAACTTGCCAGGACTAAAACAATTAATCTGCCAATCTGCCACATTGGAGATGAACTAGAAGAATCATACATTTAAGACAGCCTTCATTGTGGAGATGGCATGTGATTGATTATGGACATTATTATAGCAGTGAATTTATTTCTGTACACATTATTTACTTTTCTGAGTTTCCTTCACATTCATTTTGTCTTTGATTTGGCTTTAAGGAAGTGGAGAAGGAAAGAATTCACAGAGAACTGATCTCTGAAGCTTTGGATATTCCAAATTTGAGCCACCCCAACACAGTAAGAATCCTATGTGATTTTTGAATAGAGGGCTACCAGTTATTTGTATTTTCTACAATTTAGTGCAATTTGCAATAATATATATATATGTTATTCGGTTCAGTTCTGTTGAAATAAAAAATGTCAAGCTTTCTCCACTTTTAACCGGCTAGATGCCCTGTTATATCGTGGATGGTTTCTTGGCTGACTTATTTCTCAAATTTGAATTTCTTGGTGGCGTACATTATGCCTAAGTTTTTGTTTCTTCATGGCTTCTTTTCTCATGGTCTGGGCTTGCGGGAGTTTCGGCTGCTTCTGATTGAGTAGTTTCTTCCGTATATTATGCAGTGAAATGTGTTTGGCCATATAACATGGATGTCAGCAAACAGTATACGATAGGAAACAATGATGTACAGACCAGATAGGAAGTGCAGAAGAGGCAGACCATGCAAATTATGGACAGAAGAAATAACAGAGTCCCTTGGAATGCCCATTTACAAAACGCATAAACAGGCACTTTCCCGTAAATTTACTTGTCCTCGACACTGCAAGGTACCAGAGGATCAAGATGAGATGATGGTGGGGACTGAGACAAAGCAATGTTGAAGTACTAACCAAAAAACATGTTGCATAAGTTTGTTTTGTGACTATGCTTTTTTGAAGATGAAAGACAGAAGAAGAAGAAGAATTATTATGGCTCCCTGTTTAGGTTCCAGGGCCTTTTTTTTCAGAGGGGAAAAGAATAGACTTACTGCCCCCCCCCCTCTCTCCCCAAACACATACACACACTCACACACACACACAAATGTCATAAAAGTCTATTAATTAGGTGTGGTTTCCTTCAAAATTGGATTACATCTGCCTGCAGTCTGCTTACAAATAAGCAAAGTATGTAAAATGGATGTGCACTCAGAACTCATGCTCTGGAACCAGACTAAAGTCCAGAAGTGGACAAACAACCAGAAATTCCCTCCAGAGTTTACAGCCGGGGAATGTGAAGAAGAAAAAGAAGATTAGTATAGCTTTTTGGTCAATCTAGCCTCATAAAATGAGTACTGGATGAGTTTCTGAATTTTCAGGCAAAAGAAAGACAGTGATATGAAAAATCTTTCCTATTTTATTGTCTCGTGAACAACCAAAATTTCCTATCCCTCTGATATTGTCAGCTGTATGGCTGCCTTTGCTTTATGCTGAGTATTGATCTCCTGAATATGAAGGTATTGGTTAAAGATGTGAAAATATCAATTTTTCCCAATGTTTGTTTCCATGTTTAGGTTATTGGTGATGAGTCGGGAGCTCGGGTGGTAGAAGTTGTTGGTACTAAAAAAGGTGGGTGCCGTTATCTTTGTCTTAAAGAAAACTTGCCTCATATTTAGTGAGTGAAAGTTCAGTGTCCTATTCTTCTTTGCTTGCCCTTAAAATGGCGGTTGGCATGTTATGTTGAGTTTACAGCTAGGCTGCGATATCTTCATCTTTTGGCCCAACACATCTGCTTTCAGCAAACCCTTAAATAGTCACCTCTAATGACATTCTTGTTATTGCGGCATAGGGTCTATTCTTTTCTCGTGCCACCTTGAATTAAGCCCCAAAACCAACACTGAAAAATTTAATTTCGGTGAAAGGAGAAATTGTTGATGGAAATTGTAAGGTACTGTCTATAATGGACATTATGCTGGGGTATAGGAGTCGCCGTGGCGTTGGCGGCTAGACCCCTGTCCTGGATTAAAAGGTCGTGGGTTCGCGTCCTGACGGAGCCAGTTTTTTTTTATCCTCCAAAAATGACCTTGACTCCCAGCTTTGAGTGGGTACTTTGTGCTGTACTGGGAAGTAAAGGTGGCCGGCGTGATGCTGACCACATCACCCACCAAGTGCCGACTGATTGGTCTATAAAAAAAATATAGGTCTAAGCCTATATTCCCAATACGCCTAAAGGCCTGGAAATGTCACCTTTACCTTATGCTGTGGTACAGGAGCATGAACATGAATCTGTAATTTAAAAAATTGGATAGCTCTAAAAATTGGGCATACAAAAGAATAACTTGGTTTTTCTATATAATGCAAAAGTATATAGATATAAATGACAAACCTCCAGCACACTTATTTCTGTTAGATTTAACATAAAAACCAAAAACAAATTTAGCAAACATCTATGCCACATATTCAGAATAATGATTGATCAAACGTCACATTCTCTTGCTCTTTCTATAAATTTCTGTGCTGATCTCTTCTCATCATGGAATACTTATCCTTATCTTCTCTTTTTGATGACCTCTCTTTCTTTTCTTTTTGTTTTGTTTTTTAAATTAATTTTAGCAGCGTTTAACCCAGTGGTCTTAATTTCATAATGCCCATTGATGTGGACTTTTTATGATTAACTTGGTAATTTGCATGACCACTCCCGTTTGTGTGTGTGTGTGTGGTTTGTTTGTTAAATGCCAGTGGCACACACTGGGTATAATATTCTAGATACATAATTGTACAGACCATTCTGCTCTTGGTGGGTGATATGGTCAATATAACACCAACTGTCTTTATGTCCCAGGACGTTCATTTCTTGTTCTATTGTGTTATTTTGTGCTCAGTTCTCACCATCTATTTCTCAATTCCAATCTATCCTGTGCAATCACTTTGATTTCTTCACGTATGGGTTCTGGGGCCCCATTATGGGGTTGGGGATGAGGAATAGACCCACTGCCTCCCCTAGCAAGCATGTCCTAAGAGTTGACTAATTAGGGGCTTCCTTCAAAGTCACAGTGGGTTTGCCTGAGATGCAGTGAACTTACATTCTACCTACAGATAAGACAAATCTCTAAAACCGATGTCTTCAATCCAGAACCTGAGTTTTGCATGGACATCTGTTTTACAGATGTGGTTTATTTGTAAGCAGACTGTTATCTCAGGCAGATGCCATCGGACTTTAAAAAAAACACCCCTGTTTAGTACTTTTACTACTCGCTTCTTAGGTGGTCAATGGGACGTTCCCCCCCCCCCCCAACCCCCTTTTTCCCTCCAAATCAGGGCCAGAAACCTACACAGAAAGATTGTTTCATTCCTAGATCTGTGTTGAGTTTTTCTTGTTTCTTTGCTCATTCCTAAATATTTTGGATACTCATCATTGCTGTCCATGGTGTAATCCAAATACTTCTGTTAAGCCATATTTCTTAGCTTCAGGATTATTTGTACATGTTTACTCAACGTCCAGGATTCACAACTAGCTTGCAAGAAATTTTTTTTTTATAGCTAATAAGTAATCACCGTTCTCACAACAGTGATGCACCAGGCATATGCTGCTAAACCCATATATTTCGGTATGTCTGTTAACACTGTATGGGTGGTGTGGTTAACATCTTGCCGGCCATCTTGACATTGATTGGTTTCTAATTTAGGCTGGTTTGACCTGGAAGCTAAATATAGTTGTAAAATAATCCATCCTAATCATCATCAAGTGCCGTGCTGGTGAGCGTAGGCTGCCATGTTTCGCCATCTCACATGAACACCAGAATCATGGATCAGTTCATTGTTTTGTCTCACCCCATCCATCTGGTCAGGCCATCTAGGTATTTTTCTTTATGCCTTCCTCTTGCTCTCTTTCCATCAATCTTGCCAGTTGTTATGAATGTCTGGAGTCCATAACTTCTCATGAAATGTCCAAAACATTTGGCTGTCTAAGTCTAATTGTTCTAATACGTTTACGTCTTTTATCTGTCTAGGTGAGGAATGCTTCATTTTTTTGGGTCCTAATACAGATTCTTCTTCTTTGCATTCACCAGCTGTAAACTCTGGCGGAAAGTTCTGGTTGTTCATCCACTTCTGGACTGCAGTCCTGTTCCAGAACCTGAGTGTTTTTGTGCATCCATTTTACAGATCTGACTCATTTGTAGGCAGACTGCTGGTTCCCTGCCTCTCAGGCAGATGCACTCCGACTTCGAAGGAAGCTCCCACTTAGTCAACTCTTGCGACATGCTTTTGGTTAGTCAGTAGGTCTATTCTTGTTTTCCCTATAATAGGGCCCTGGAACCCACACAGGGGAATACAGATTCAAGACTTCCAAGTTTGTAGGCAGCATCTAGCCACTGTTCTACTTAATGACAATGACATTCTGCACATAATATGCATTATATCCTAAAATTCAGTTTTGTTTGTCTTTATTGTTAAATTATTACACGTTATTGATGAGTTCCAATAATCCTTCTGGCAGAATTTGACTTCACACCTCGGAATGTCAGTGAAATAGCAGGAAGAGGCCTGAAAATGTTGCGGGATGAGTAAGTTTGCTTTATATGTAAACAGTGAGAACTTGGCCCCATTTATGTACATATATTATCACATTTTGATTGTCTAGATACTTCTGTGTAATAATTATAATATATTCTGTTCTCTGGAGGTGTCTCCACATCACTTGGTGGGAAAGCTTGCACTAGGTTAGTCTGGCCATAGCTTACAAGCAAGGCCTCTTAAAATGGATAAATTGAAGGGTAGAAAACAGACAAAAAGACACTGGTCCTCCACTGGAAAAGCTGAGGGGGGGGGGGGGGGGGGGGGGGGATGTTGAAGCATGGTGTAAACACCCCTGCCTTTGTAAAATCTCATTTTTCAGAATGAAACATATATTTAAGCCTCAAATTCAGATGGATTTAAACTGTTCTGAATGTGAGTAGACCACGAGGGCAATGCAAATGTAATATACATGCAGATGTACACACATTTGAAGTCACCAGCTGAAAAGAGAATCCCAATCAGAGAAATGATTAGAAGGGGGTAATAACTAAAACTTAAAAATAAAGGCCCGGAACACTGAAGAAGACGAAATTCTGTTCAAACATTTTAAAGTCTGCTTTTGAATGAATACTGTCTGAAGATACAGTGTTAAATGTAGCAACTTATATTATGGTACAAAAATGTTATGGAACATTGTAACAACATGCAGTAAAACCTCTATAAATTGACCACCCAAGGTTGTGCAGCAAACTGGTCAACTTATGGAAACCTTTAGGTGCTTTATTAATATCCTACCTCAAACAGGGGAAATCCACAGGTCACGGGACAGTCTAATATTTCGGGGGGGGGGGTGTAGATAGGTTGCATGCTGTCGTGGGACCTAGGCAAAATGCAGTTGTGGGACCTAGGCTGCACTCACTCATGGGATGTAGGTGGGTTGGGATTAGGGCCAGTTGTAGATGTTTTGGGGTTGTTAAAAGCATCAGAAAGCTGGGAAACCCAGTCTTACCACCCTCTAAAATGTTGGACTGTCCTGTGACATCATCTGGGGTAGGATATTACAAAAGAACCGGCCTTTAATATATGGGTTGAGACCTATAATCCTGACATTATACTTTTTTGAACAACTTATATTGGAGAATATAGTATTGTATGAAATTATACTTAATCATAACATCACATTGCATCATTAATCTATGTTCTATTGGTTACTTAACAACCCTTTGAAAGCCAAAGTCCCAAGTGTCTGCCAGGGTCTCTCTGCCAACTGCAAAGTCTAACATATGTCCAACTAAAGCAGAACCGCCTGCGCAAACCACAGTAGATGTATTCTATGTGCGACAAATATCGCTTGTCACTCGACCGTGGCAGTAACCGGCCAGTTTGCTACCGCAGCAACAATACAACACCGGTAGAACCAAATTTCCCCAGTACCTGTTGAATTCACCTTCGTCTCGTCCATACGTGTCCGATTAAGTGCAGCAGGAGATACTGGGGCCTGGCGTCATGACCCAGGTTGGCCCACCTTCCGAGTTTGTTTAGGATGGTAACGGGCCGAAACAATTGTCGACAGAGGATCTTCTACCGATGACCGGTAAACTCCTGCTGTGTATGCGCCCCTTTGGAGTTTTCTTATATATACTGGTTTAATCATTCTTTCAGAGAAAAATATGGTGGGGGAGGGGGGGGGGAGTCTTGCTATGTGCCTTATTCTTATTACAAACATATTAGGAGAAAGCGATCTCAGTGTTAGCTACATCAATTAACATCCATGAGCATTTTTCTACAGCAGATGACTTCAACTCCATTATCAGATAACAGCATCTTTTTTTTTTTTTGGGTCTGCAATTTTTGTGTCACTTTCAACTTCACAATCTGCTTTGTTACACTGTTATGCTGGTCTGTGCTTCATTCAGTATCACTTGGACAATTTCTTCTGAGTCTCTTCATTACAAGTTGCCACTTCATCATCTATTGAAGAGAAACCTTCAAAATATATTCGTCCAAATTCTGCCATTGACAATGGAATGTCCGAAGGGGCTAAAATGTCATGTATTTGGATTAGGTTAATCTAAATTTTTTGAAGCACTTCTATATCATTTGTGACTGCTAATCCAAGCAGAACTGATCCACAAAGGCCAGCATCCAGTGCGTTAACTAATTCAGTGGATTAAATTTCCTCCATAGGCGGACCAAAGATCTGTGTTTTAATAATGGACTCACTGCAAGAGCTAGGCACGTTAGTTAATTTAAAATGTTTTGATGATGCCTAGGTCAAGAGATTGGGTTTTGGGGTTATGTTTGGTGGCAGAAATTCTGTGTCATTTTAGTGAGTTGATCCACATGTTGGTGGCCAGGACAGTTGTTTACTGACAGAAGAATATACGGTTGGTTCTTCTTCATTTCTTTGCTGCAAGGCTGAATGGCTCTACCTCACCATGTAGAGTATAAAGACTTTCTCACTTTAAGCATTTGTTTAAATATTTCTTATATTAGTCTGTCAGGCCAACCCTTCCCCAATATTTTCTCAGTAACAGCACCTCTGGATCAAAATAAATAAGCCAGACCATTACTCTGTAGTTAGTTTTATGTTAGCTGTACAAGAGTTTGTTTTTGCAGAAATGATTAAATATACATGCGTTTTCCTCTTATTTTGTTTCTAAATCAGGAGGTTAACATTCTCCACCGGAGCTAAAACATATTACCTGGAGGACGGACTGGCCAAGTTGGAAAGGGCCTTAGTATCATTTACATTAGACAAACTGCTGAAGAAGGTGAGAATGAGTATAATCCTTGTTCATTAGGTAACAGTTTTTATAATCTGTCAGTTTTGGCAAGCGCCATGATGTACATCAAAGACTAGTTTGAAGCAGGCTGATGTGTTACTGGCAAGCGCCATGATGCACATCAAAGACTAGTTTGAAGCAGGCTGATGTGTTACTGGCAAGCGCCATAATGCACATCAAAGACTAGTTTGAAGCAGGCTGATGTGTTACTGGCAAGCGCCATAATGCACATCAAAGACTAGTTTCAAGCAGGCTGATGTGTTACTGGCAAGCGCCATAAGGCACATCAAAGACTAGTTTGAAGCAGGCTGATGTGTTACTGGCAAACGCCAAAATGCACATCAAAGACTAGTTTGAAGCAGGCTGATGTGTTACTGGCAAGCGCCATAATGCACATCAAAGACTAGTTTCAAGCAGGCTGATGTGTTACTGGCAAGCGCCACAAGGCACATCGAAGACTAGTTTGAAGCAGGCTGATGTATTACTGGCAAGCGCCATAAGGCACATCAAAGACTAGTTTGAAGCAGGCTGATGTGTTACTGGCAAGTGCCACAAGGCACATCAAAGATTAGTTTGAAGCAGGCTGATGTATTACTGGCAAGCACCATAAGGCACATCAAAGACTAGTTTGAAGCAGGCTGATGTATTACTGGCAAGCGCCATAATGCACATCAAAGACTAGTTTCAAGCAGGCTGATGTGTTTCTGGCAAGCGCCATAATGCACATCAAAGACTAGTTTGAAGCAGGCTGATGTGTTACTGGCAAGCACCATAAGGCACATCAAAGACTAGTTTGAAGCAGGCTGATGTGTTAAAGTATTTATTTACCTTGCTGACAGCAGATGGGAGATGTGTTAGTAAAGTTTGACATAGAATAGACCAAGCAAAAGCAGCAAATCTCAGAATGAATACGCAGTTTGTCTTTACTAATTAAGTTTAGAAATAGAACGAACAAATGAATAGACCAGTGGCCTCTTATGTATAACGGCTCTTCTACACTCATCTTCCACGCAAAATGTATTTTATCCATAAGGCACGTCATGTTCATAGCACTACACATAGTATGGATATAAAAAGTAAATATGCACTCATGATGTTTATTCAACGGATCAACATTATAGCACACAGGTGTAACCCATAAGTACTCCGTTCTTCTTCTAACTCAAGCCTGAGTTTGAAGAATCTGAGCACAGTGCACGAACTCTGTAGCACCGGCAAGGATTCTGAAATACTTTCTGGGTAGATTTTTAACTCAAAATTTAGCGTGGGCAGGGCCGTTAGGCTTATCTTTTCGAATTCCAACTGCCAAGGGATTTTTTTTTACGTGCGTAACAATACACACGGTTCAGTCTTACTACCCAGAAATCGGTAGAAATTACTAGAAGTCCACGTGAAAAAATCCCAGCCTTCACCGGTGCATGAACCGAGATCTCTAGCACTCGAGACGGACACCATGCCTCGACAGCCACACCCCCCCCCCCCCCCCCCCCCCCAATGCACTCAGGAGTGAGACAAATGGATCAATCCATAGATTAAATTAGATAGATAAATAGACAGACAGATATATAGATGGATGGATGGAAGGGTGGGTAGAGAAGATATTGGACAGTTTGTCACTGAGACATTGAGAAATATCTATATCAAAAATGATTTATGGTATGTATGGTAGAATACTTTTCACAGACATAATGACCAACCCCCAATATCATGAACTAAGATGCTTGTTTGCTGGTCCGAAGGTCTTGTGTTCAAATCTGCATCTACTTAGATTAATTTTTGTTTAAATGTACTTTGGCTGCATATTGAGCAGCCTAAAATTATTACCAGGTTAGGGAAGATGTCCTGTGTGATACTGACCACATCACCGATCGAATGCTGATTTCATCTATACAAATATTATTCTGTGACCCTATGCCCGAAGTGGCAGTGGTGTAAAAGGGTCCTTTACTTTAACTTACACAAAATGAGATGTAAGAATAACATTATTTTGTGTATCATTACTTTTTGCATATCTTGTTTACCTGGTAAACGATTGTTCATTTCCTATCGTTATGGCATTGGTGAATTATTGCTATCTACTGTGTTTTAAAAAACATTTGCAGACATTGAATTGTGTATTAGTAAAGAGAGACCTTGCTGGGTTCTGGACCCCCATTTTGTGGGTGGGGGAAAAATAATAACCCACCACCACCATCTTACCCTGTTGTTAAATTCAACTGACTAGGGGTATTTCATTTGAAGTCGGAATGCATCTGTTTGAGAGGTGAGATTCCAACAGTTTGTATTCCCAAAAAAAAGCCAGATCTGTAAGATGTGTGTGCATGAAAAACTCAAGTTCTAGAACAAAACTAAAGTCCAGAAGTAGATGAACAGCTAGAACTGTCCACCCGAGATGACAGCTAATTAATGCAGAGAAGATGTGAACAGGAAATTCATACAAGATTTAAGGTGCTCACCCACCGCTCAAGATCTATGTCTGTTCTTAGATGGAGTTGAGTTTTGATGTGCACTTTGACACACATCATTAGAAATCTTGCAGATATGGCACAATGTCCATCTAGCAATGTGGTACAGTTCTTATGGTATTTTTCTTGTCTGTAAATTTGTAAACTGTTTGTTCTTCAGGGTTTTCAGCTAGTTTCAGTTCCAGATTTGCTGTATCCTGGAGTCATTGTGAGTATGCACACATGAAACATTCTTCTCTTATCATCCTATGTACAGCTTTATACTCATGACTTTAGTCCTTTTCCAGAGCCTGACTACCACTGGCACATCTTTTTTTTAAAAACAGATCTGGCTTATCTATTGGTTCCTTGCCTCTCAGGCAGATGCACTCCGATTTCAAAGAAAACTGTCAGTCAACTCATACAGTGGGCTTTTTGGGGAGGTAGTAGGTCTATTCAGGTTTTCCCCATAATAGAGCGCCCAAACCTAAATCATCATGTGCCCTGCCAGCTGGCGTAGGCGCTCATGCGTCTCCACAGATCACTATGGAACCTAAATAGGGAAACATATATATATAAATACCTGCAGATAATCAGTCTCCCCCAGCTTCCCCTCACTATTGGCTTCCCCAAAAAACCTGGTCTGGTATCCAACCCACTCCAGACATTGACCCTTCCACCTGGCTCCCTCAGCTGCCCCCTGGCTACCCAGATCTCCCCCCCCCCCCTCCCACCCCAATCTTTCAAGTGCACTCACACAGGCAGCTTTGGCAGTCACAGCTCCTCGATCAGTTTTTGCATCTGTAGGTGCTTGTTGAGTTATTACAACACATACCTTAAATACCAAGGCACGGGTGAGACACCTGGAGGTGCTGTTATTGTGGAGTTTCTGTATTACTTGTAATAATAAAGGTCTTGCTTTTTTTATATTTATGGGCACTGAAATTGGAATCAGGTGGAATAATGCTGTGATGTCCCAGCATGTACTCACACCACCTGCTGAATTGTGGGGAACTGTTGTCTCCCAGCATGCACTGTGGAGCCATTACTGTAACTTCACATAGTACTGCATTAGTTTTAGCACTAACCCATACAAATGTCATAAATTGGGGTGGGGGGGGGGGGGGGGGGGATTGTCATATTCTGCAGAATTCAAGTTAAATGTCATAAATTATACAAAACAACATGGAAATACAGCTTCACAGAGAAAATGTGGATCTCCTCCTGAGTGCATGATCACTGAGAAACAATGGAATAATGTCTAAACAGAAGAAGGCCTTCAGTTGGAAAACCAGCAAATTGTTCAAACTTGAAGCAGAAGCTTAATGTGTGGATTATAGAGCATTTTCCAGTTGGGATAAATGTGTGATCCAAGGTGAATCAGCATGAGGCAAAAAGGTTTGCAAATGAAATGAACATTACTGACTTTACTGGAAAGGCAAAGTGGTGATTAAACTTCATTATTTAGGAGAGAAAGGCTTGGCTTTGACAGCACAAACCAAATTAGCACAGAAGTGCACAATTTTTGGTAAAGTTTTTGTTTGTTTAATGTTTGGGAAGGGGGGGGGGGGGAACCATGTGGAGGCACACTTAGATTATCATGACCTGAAAAGAATGGTGTGACTAGGGGATCTGGCCGACACTCCACACTGAAAGGAAAGGCAAGATGGACTTACAGTCAAGACTGTTATTGATACCATCACAGTAGGAACTCTTTGCCGGCTGCTGAGGATAAGGAGGAAACACTTCTGAGAAGACCCTAAGTGCTATGATGTCATTTCTTAAAACTATACTAAACTAACTAGATATGCCAGTGTTGCAAATATTTAAATTAAATATCAAAATTGTTCTGTTTGATGTTTAAAATATTTATTCTCTTATTTTGGGCTGAAAACAAAAGGGTTGTCTCATGTATGTGGCTGTCTTGCGCACAGAAAAGTACAGTACTTTTGGGGAAAAGTTCTTGAAAGTAAAAGCAGCCACATGATATTGACAACATCACCTATTGAGCGGTGATTGGTTTATAAAAATATAAGGCTAGAACAATATGCCCAAGTGCCCTTGAGGCATGGAGAGAAACCTTTAGTTTACTATGGTCATTCCCAGGACAGCTGCGGTTTCAAGACAAGCTCTGATCGATCTCAGGTCTACCATCTCCACCCACGCTGCTTGAATGGGGCTTGTTTGGCTGGCACTGCAGAGATGTCTCTTGCTGGTAAGTTGTTTCAGGATCTACACAAAAATACGCACACACACACACACACATATACATTCTGCCTGTTTATGCATGATAATAAAATATGTAAATTTTACAAGTCACGGATAAAATGATTGCATGTAGTTTCTAGGGAGGTAACAAGTGGAAAATCATAAATTATGCAATTTTGTGCTATTTTTTAAAGATATCAAAATAAGGTCACATCTTTATGAAATTTGGTGTGGGCCTTCTTTATCTATCATACAAACAATAAATCACAGAGAAATAAAGTTATATCAGTTTATTTTAGTACTTATTTCCATTTTATCAAGATACATATTTTGGTGATCAGTAAACTGGTTGCAGTAGCGATGTTAGTCCTGCTAAAAATTTAAAACAAAATTTAATGCTCAGTGCATGCAGCTGACAGTTTTTGTAGCTGCTCAGATACAGTTGAGCTGTAACCTGAACTGAAAGTCAACTCTGTATCTGAGTTAGATTTTCTTATACAAGGTCTGACAATTAAGTAAGTAAAGTAAAGTAAAGTTCCCTTTTCACGCCTTTCGGCGCATCGGGCATATGGGCAGAGCGTCCCATATTTTTACAGACCATCAGCACTCTGTGGGTAATGTGGTCAGCATTACGCCGGCTGTCTTTACTTTCCCAGGGACAGCCCATCCTGGTAACCTGGGTCGACCTGCGGAACATACCACGACAAAAGTCCACGCAGCCTGCAGTGGGTTTCGATCGCGGTATGCTGGCTTACGAGTCGGACTCGCAACGCCTTAGCCACGGACGCCGCTGACAATTAATTAATGAGACTTAATTCCATAAAAATTTTAATAATCAACAGTGTAAGATATAACCTGTATCTGATTTGAAGTAAGTCTCTTGTGCATTGATACAGTAAGTGGCACGATCTAACAAACACTGGAACGACCTCTGTAGTGCTTCTGTTATGAGCCTTAAAGTCGGTGTTACAGCCCTTTGGATGTCATCAATAACGTTAAAGAAGCGTCCTTTCAATCGTAACTTTAATTTTGGGAATAGAAAATAATCACAGGGAGACAAATCTGAGGAACAGGTTGGAAGGCTGATAACACACACTTGTTTTTGGGCCAAAAATTCTTGTTTTGATGATGTGTCTTGGGTACTCAACCCGCTGATGTTTTTGGTCATCAAACAACAAATGTGGTACAAACCGGCAAGCAACTTTTTTCTTGCCAAAATCTTGTACTTAAATATTAGGAATGGTCTCTCTATTACCACCAGATTCATCTGCAATCATCCTCACAGTAAAACAATGATCTTCTTGTATCCGTTCTCTGACTTTTGCAATGAGTTCATCATTACGAACAGAAATTTGGTGTCTAGGTCTAGGTGCATTAGTAATCATTTCTGCAGCACTTTTGAATCGTGAAAACCAACTGAAAGTTTGTGCACGAGATAAAGAATTATCCCCATAAACTTTTTGCATCAATTCAACTGTTTCAATGGCACTTTTTCTGAGTTTTAAAAAGAATTTAATGTTAGCTGTTTGCTTCGTGCTGATTGTGTAACAACTAGTCAACAAAATGGCGGCTTGTTTGTCGTCTGCTTATTGAGCGGCGATAAAAAGTTGCCAGAACATAAATGAATATTGTCTCTTTAGATTTCATGCTTTGTTTCATAGATGGCATTTTTGTCTTGGCCATAATGAAATCAGTCTCATTACTTAATTGTCGGACCTTGTTATTAATGTGTAGGCATCTATGGCTTAAGCGTTGCGAACGCACTTTATAATACCGGGGTGCCGGGTTGAATCCCAGCTGCGAATGATTTGTCTTGCGTTGGTTTCGACGATGGTACAGAGAGCTGACTGTTCAGAAAGCAATGGCAAACTACTAAACGTAACATTGCCTAGAAAAACCACAACAGCCAAAAAAAAAAATGCTGGAGTTGGTTCTGCAACATCCTGTAAAGGATACACAACTTGTTATATTAATGTGCATATTTTTTGAAAAGTTTCATAAAATCATAACTCAAGTTAAATATTTCCTACAGATTTGGTACCCTTAAATTTGGCAAGTTTCAAACAGAATCTACTGAAGAGCATGTCCTCCAAATTGTATTCAATAATTTTTGAAATTGTCCTGACAAATCTGGCTGATTTGTAAGCATACTGTTGGTTCCTCGCCTATCAGGCAGAGGCACTCCATCTTTGAAGGCAACACTCCTAATTAGTAGACTTTTATGACATGTTTGTTTGAAGCCAGTAGTTTTGAATCCCTCTATCGAAGGCCTTTTCCTAACTAACTAACTAACTAACTGAAATGACCTGGTACTGATTTCAGGATTTACTTGAGAATCAAGTTGTAAGCTGTTGCATAATTAAGTTATATAAGAAATGCTGATCCAGAAATGTCCAGTGTCACACCTTTTGCAAGTATCAGAAACAGGAAACCACTCATTTACGGAAATCACGATAATAAACCCGCTTAGTCCAGAATTGTGCAGACAAAAGCACATTGTAGTGAACTTGCATTTGCAATGGTAAAAAAAGGCTTTTTTTTTTTTTTTATGTAGTTAAATTTGTTTTTCATTTGGAAGGATTAATTTATGTGTTTCCTGTTAATCAGTTGTTACTGCAGTATGCAATAAATTGTGCAGTCTCTTGTTTGTGTCTTCTTTGTTCTTGCTCATTGATTTGTTTCTGTTTTCTTTCAGGTTATTTTATGAATGAAGTTATCCCTTATGATCAGCTGCCAAAAAGGTAATTGTATATCTTTTTGCTATTCAATATTTTTAAATGGTTGGGCTAAAATTAACTCCAGTCAAAAAGAAGTTCACAGTTTGAAGCAGTGTTTGATGCTTTGACCTTTCTGTGTGCTGAATATACATTTCTGTGAAGTGTTATTATTGAATGCTGTCTCCATTTTTATACTGGTAATATGGTTATTGTTATGCTCATATTTTCTAGACCAACCGGCACTTGGTGTGATCATTGTCATTTTGATTGTCTTCAAATTTTGTAAAAATAATTTATTTTTAATCATTATTATTTATTTATTGTTGTATTATATAATATTATTTTATTTTACTTTTATTTCTAGAATATATTTGTTGCAGTTAGTGAAGCTCTATTTATTTTAGTTTTTTAATTTAAAGATTTATTTATGGTTGGTTAAACTTACAGGTAGGGTTTTGTACAATCCTCTTTCCTTCATTTACTGGAATCAGCTTGTATTTGCAGGTTTGTTTCTTGCATGAAGTACTTTGACTTCTGCATTTCTTTAGGCCTCTGTAAAGATTCTTCTTATGCATCACTAAAGAGCAGTTAGCACATTGTAATTTACTGCCACACTGCGCTTTTCGGCCCAGCTTAAACACTTAATGAGTTGAGTTGAGTCAAGAATTGGCATCACAGCAATCGGGGCATTCCCATGTATGCTCTGCCCTCATCTTCAATTGCCAGCGCAGAGCTCCAATACTGATGGTACCGGTCACAATCTGGTTATATGTCCTGCTTGCCTTTCCTCTGAGTGTAGCTAGCTGGCTAGACTCTCTAGTTAAACCCATGTGCCTCATTAACACTTAATTAACTGCTGTTTACCACATGCTTGTTAAAAGACAGTAGGTCTATTAAATCCCCCCCCCCAAAAAAGGAAAACTTCAAAATAGGCCTAATAAATGCAGGAAAAACTCCTTGTTTCTAGGCCCTAGCTCTGCCAATTTACACACTAGGTCACTTTTAATTGGTGGTTGGTCAGGCTCGTGAACTTTGGTCAAGGTAACAGGGGTGACCCAGTTTACTGTTTGCTCGAAAAGCTTGCTGCGTTTTCTATTTACGTTTTCATTCCGAGAAAGAGAATCCTTTGGACCTAGTTGCAGCACTCTCGTAGGGAAATTTGTAATAGGGCTAGTTCTGCGTGTTTTGGGACCATAAAAAGCGTTGACATCATGAAATATACAACACGCGAAATCACCGGCCGGTGAAGAGAACGGAAAAAGCTTTTCGAACAAAACTGTAAACCAGGACACCCCTGTAACGTTTAGCAAAGTTGACCAGCCTGACGAAGTATGAATGTGAAATGACCTAGTGTGTAAGTGGGCAGAGATAGGCCTGGAAACGTGACAAGAACTGAATGCAGAAGAACAGCTCATCTAAGGACCAGAAAAGATAACTTGTCAGAAAGTTGAGATTAGCAAAGGTAGAGGAAAGAAGACATGAAAAATGCTGGCAGAATTCTTGCTTACTTGATTATGAGGCGCACACCAGTAATGTGAAACAGTCTGTATACCTATATTCAAACTGTGGTCAAAGAAATAGCAGTTCTTACTCTCCACATCGACTTCTGTTCTTCATCTCATAATGAAGTACAGACCATCGACTTGTTCATGATGAATTTGATCTTTGAACTACTTTTTTTTGGATTGGATTGGATTTTTTACCCCACCAGGACATCACACAAGCGATAAACACCCGATGACACAAAGTGCCACCATGCGGATGAGGATCACCGTGGAGAGGTCCCAGAAACCGCGTTCAGACATTTGGCCATAATGATGACCTGCCTATATTGCGGCCCCTGGCAAAAGCCAGAGTAGGGCTTCAAATAACAAAAAATTACGTCCTAAAAAGGACGTAATGATTGAAGCAATACTTTTTTTTTTAGAACTAATGTTCCTTAATAGTCTGTTGCAACATGCATGTTAGGTTACAGTGTCATTGTTTTTTTCTTCTCCTATGGAACTTTTTCTACATGATGGACATGGCTATAAAGTCTAGCTGTTGGAATGAAAGAGTCCGCAAGTTGTTAAAGAATAGTCTTATCTTGTCTTTTGAATGCTCTCTTCCATAAGGACCTTAATGTTCATCACAGTTTTATCTAAACAATTGTATAGTTATGTCCCTTGTCATAACAACCTGCCTTCTGCTATCCTACTAATGTGGGTCAATTCCTATCCCATATCCATGTCCAACAACTACACTCGTAAACAGATATGCGTACTGTTCAAGCTTGTTATAGAGATTTTGTTACAGATAAGTACATTTATGTATTATGTTTTGAAATTTTATCATTGCCGGTTTTTTTCTTTATCTTGATGAAGACTCTCTAGCCAGAAAGCTCATTTTACCATTTGTGATTGTGGTATTGTGAAGCAAGCATTTAAACTGAAAAACTGTAATGCTTCATTGAGGGAAGCGGATGTGGGCATGCATATAAGTGCTGCTACAAATGACTGGCAACAGCAGCAGAAAACCTCACTCCGGATTTTGAAGCTTGTTCATTTTACACAGATGAGGATGTGTCGAAGATGAGATGAGATCCATCTGGTTAAATTAGAAACAACAAAAGTGAAAACAAATCAAAACAACAGAAAGAAATGTCAGTAATGAATTATAAATGTAATTGGAAGAGACAGTATCAGACATGACAGCAGAAAAGAAGTTGGGAAGGACCCAGTACTAAACTGAGTGCCTTGTTACTCAGACACAGTAGAAGTAGATCCAGAGGTTGACCACCCAAGCTGTTGATAGATGGAATATCCAAGACTATAAACACCAGCATCTGTGTAGTACATATCAGAGTTTGCACTGGATGCCTCTTCAAAACCTGATGTTGAAAGGCAGAAGATGATGATGTTTTACTGCTCAGTATCCTAATTTGATCTTGTGTATTTCCTAGAGATACATCTGTGAGTTATTTATTCATTCACAAGTCTTATTTTCTGCCAGGATGGTTGCTGTCAGTCGCTGCTACAGGGCTGAAGCCCAAGAGAGAGCAGCTGAGAAGGGACTGTATAGAGTTCATCATTTTACCAAGGTATTTCTGGCTTTGTTATTTGTTAGTTTTAAAGTGAAGCTGTTATGACAACTTCTTATGTTTATTTTGTTTACTTACAAACACTTTTTTTTTTCTGCCCTCATTGTCCTAGATCCTTCCTGGCCCATGTTGGGCTTAAAAGTCACCTCCAGACTCACAAACAATCAACTGTAGTTTCATGACAGATGAGGGAAAAAGTGGCCCTCTTTGCTTATGTTAGATAAACAACACTATGGCAGCTCTCATAAAAGATCTTCACCTACGTCCCCAACATTAGTGACTGTCATACTATTTCTTCTTCTTCTTTGCTTTCACCAGCTGTAAACTCTGGCGGAAAGTTCTGGTTGTTTGTCCACTTCTGAACTGCAGTCCTGCTCCAGAACCTGAGTGTTGCATGTGCATCAGTTTTACAGATCTGACTTATTTATATCCAGACTGATGGTTCCTTGCCTCTCAGGCAGATGCCACTCTGACTTCGAAGGAAGCTCCGAATTAGTCGACTCTTATGACATGCTTTTGGGTAGGCAGTGGGTCTATTCTTGTTTTCCCTATAACAGGGCCCCAAAACCCACACAGGGATCCTACCATTTAATTCCCTCTGTTCTCACACGTACAAGTGATGACCGTTTGTAATACAGACTGTTGATTATAATTTTTAATATAGACCCTGACAGAAATATCTGTCCGTCACTCTACCAAATATTTTAACTCAGGCTACCTCATTGAGAGCCCAGCAAATATAACTACATTTGTTGAGTTAGTTAGTTGCATATCCTTTACAGGAGGTTGTAGAACCAACTCCAGCATTTTTTAGCTATTGTGGTTTTTTTTCTAGGAAAATTTAATGTTCAGTAGTTTGCCATTGCTTTCTAAACGGTCAGCTCTCGGTACCACTGTCGAAACCAACGCAAGACAAATCTTCCACAGCAGGGATCGAAACCAGCACCCAGGCATTACGAAGCGCGTTCACAAGGCCTAAGCCACAATAGCCTACATTTGTTGAGTATACCAGTAAAATTAGCATAAGTTACAATGTTTTTGTATTTTCTTTACGAAGGTTGAGATGTTTGGACTATCTTCCTGTGAGAGTGGAACAGAGAGTGAAGATCTTTTACATGAGTTGCTGTCAATAGAAAGAGAATTGTTCTCTGCACTGGGATTACATTTTAGGTAATCTGTTTGTCTTGTACTTCAATCTGGTATCTGGAGACATGTTACTGTGAGGGTCCCTGGCAAAATGGTCAAGTCATTGCCTCACACTCTGAAAGTCATGTGTTCATTTCACAGCTGCATTGTTCAGTTCATGTATGCAATTTTTACCAAGATCCCTGAGAATCATTGCCAGAACTTCCCTGTGTGGTTCCGGGGCCCCATTGTGGGGAAAACAAGAATAGACCCACTGCCTCCCCAAAAGCATGTCGTAAGAGTCGACTAATTGGTGAGATTCCTTTGAAGTCGGAGTGCATCTGCCAGAGAGACCAGGAACCAACAGTCTGTATTCAAGAGAATGAGATCTGTAAAACTGATGAACATGCAACACTCAGGTTCTGGAGCAGAACTGCAGTTCAGTAGTGGACGAGCAACCAGAACCTTCCGCCAGAGTTTACAGCTGGTGAACGCGAAGAAGAAGAAGATTGCCAGAGCTGTGGTGTTCATGGTTGTTGTTTTTTTCAACCCTCGCTGCAGGCGGCTGACTTTTTTGCCAAGAGTGATCAAACCATATGAAACCCGGGGCAGTGAAGCAGATCCTCTCATCTTCAACTTTTACCTTAACCTGTGGCTGCCCTGGTCAGAAAGAGACATTCTTTGGTCATGTGGTGAGAAGGAGAAAGCTTGAGTACATTGTGACAGTAGGAAAGTTGGAGGGGAGGAGAAGCAGAGGGATACCGAGAGAAAAGATGCTGGACAGTTTGAAATCATGGCATGGAGGATCATCTGTATCAGAGTTGATTGAATGTACACGAGACAGAAGGTTGTGGAAGGACGTGACTACCTAAGCCACACAGCATGGACTTTAAGGAGAAGAACATGTGGCTGTGTTAAAGTCGCGAGGCTCAACTTCATTTTACTGAGTTATTCCATACGGCTGAGTCTGTCTTTCCACAAAATGGCTAGTTGCCTGCTGAGAGCATTGTGCAAAGCACAAACTCCTTAGCTCCAGCAGCAATCCTTAGGGATCTTCATATAAACTCAAGCAGCTTACCATTCTGTGGCCACATATGTAACTAGTACAATGTATTCAATCATTTTGACTGTTAACCTTTTTTTTTGGTTCTGATTGACATTGGCTTTCAGGGTTCTGGACATGCCGACACAGGAACTTGGTGCTCCAGCCCAGAGAAAGTTTGATATTGAAGCTTGGATGTATGGAAAGAACATTTGGGGCGAGGTAAGGTGGCATGCTTAACTGTTAAAGGCTGAGGGATCAGTATCTGGGGACCAGTATTTCCAGGAGTTTGTCACTGGGGACCAGTATTTAGTTTGTCACTAAGCTGGTGTCTGGGGACCAGTATTTCCAGGAGTATTTCCAGGAGTATTTTGTCACTAATAGAAAGCTGGTGTCTGGGGACCAGTATTTCCAGGAGTTTGTCACTAATAGAAAGCTGGTGTTTGGGGACCAGTATTTCCAGGAGTTTGTCACTAATAGAAAGCTGGTGTCTGGGGACCAGTATTTCCAGGAGTTTGTCACTAATAGAAAGTATTTGGTGTCACTAATTGGTGTCTGGGGGACCAGTATTGTCACTAATAGAAAGCTGGTGTCTGGGGGACCAGTATTTCCAGGAGTTTGTCACTAATAGAAAGCTGGTGTCTGGGGACCAGTATTTCCAGGAGTTTGTCACTAATAGAAAGCTGGTGTCTGGGGACCAGTATTTCCAGGAGTTTGTCACTAATAGAAAGCTGGTGTCTGGGGACCAGTATTTCCAGGAGTTTGTCACTAATAGAAAGCTGGTGTCTGGGGACCAGTATTTCCAGGAGTCTTTGTCACTAATAGAAAGCTGGTGTCTGGGGACCAGTATTTCCAAGAGTTTGTCACTAATAGAGAAAGCTGGTGTCTGGGGACCAGTATTTCCAGGAGTTTGTCACTAATAGAAAGCTGGTGTCTGGGGACCAGTATTTCCAGGAGTTTGTCACTAATAGAAAGCTGGTGTTTGGGGACCAGTATTTCCAGGAGTTTGTCACTAATAGAAAGCTGGTGTCTGGGGACCAGTATTTCCAGGAGTTTGTCACTAATAGAAAGCTGGTGTCTGGGGACCAGTAGTTTTCCAGGAGTTTGTCACTAATAGAAAGCTGGTGTCTGGGGACCAGTATTTCCAGGAGTTTGTCACTAATAGAAAGCTGGTGTCTGGGGACCAGTATTTCCAGGAGTTTGTCACTAATAGAAAGCTGGTGTCTGGGGGACCAGTATTTCCAGGAGTTTGTCACTAATAGAAAGCTGGTGTTGGGACCAGTATTTCCCAGGAGTTTGTCACTAATAGAAAGCTGGGTTGGGGACCAGTATTTCCAGGAGTTTGTCACTAATAGAAAGCTGGTGTCTGGGGACCAGTATTTTCCAGGAGTTGTCACTAATAGAAAGCTGGTGTCTGGGGACCAGTATTTGAGTTTGTCACTAATAGAAAGCTGGTGTTTGGGGACCAGTATTTCCAAGAGTTTGTCACTAATAGAAAGCTGGTGTCTGGGGACCAGTATTTCCAGGAGTTTGTCACTAATAGAAAGCTGGTGTTTGGGGACCAGTATTTCCAGGAGTTTGTCACTAATAGAAAGCTGGTGTCTGGGGACCAGTATTTCCAGGAGTTTGTCACTAATAGAAAGATGGTGTCTGGGGACCAAGTATTTCCAAGTTGTGTCACTAGAAAGGTGTTTGGGACCAGTATTTCCAAGGAGTTTGTTCCAAAGCTGGTGTCTGGGGACCAGTATTTCCATAGTTTGTCACTAATAGAAAGCTGGTGTCTGGGGACCAGTATTTCCAGGAGTTTGTCACTAATAGAAAGCTGGTGTCTGGGGACCAGTATTTCCAGGAGTTTGTCACTAATAGAAAGCTGGTGTTTGGGGACCAGTATTTCCAGGAGTTTGTCACTAATAGAAAGCTGGTGTTTGGGGACCAGTATTTCCAGGAGTTTGTCACTAATAGAAAGCTGGTGTTTGGGGACCAGTATTTCCAGGAGTTTGTCACTAATAGAAAGCTGGTGTCTGGGGACCAGTATTTCCAGGAGTTTGTCACTAATAGAAAGCTGGTGTCTGGGGACCAGTATTTCCAGGAGTTTGTCACTAATAGAAAGCTGGTGTTTGGGACCAGTATTTCCAGGAGTCTTTTGTCACTATAGAAAGCTGGTTCTGGGGACCAGTGATTTCCAGGAGTTTGAAGCGGGTGTTTGGGGACCAGTATTTTCCAGAGTTTTTCACTATAGAAGTTTGGGGACCATATTTCCAGGAGTTTGTCACTAATAGAAAGCTGGTGTCTGGGGACCAGTATTTTCCAGGAGTTTGTCACTAGTTTGGGGTTATTTTTCCTGACTGAAGCTATGTTCGGGGACCCAGTGGTCTGTGAAGCCCCCCAGTTAGTCGACTCTTATGACATGCTTGTTGGTGTAGCAGTGAGTCTATTCTTGTTTTCCCCACAGTGGGGCTCCGGAACCCACACAGGTAGGCCAGTCCATGAAAAAAATTATGTAGAAGTTGCAGAGATGTGGTTTTATAGATGAATGATGAGAATACACTGGACAGATAAAGAGAGTAATGAAGATGTCTTGAAAGAAATTTATTCATGCAGAGAACCTATTGCCCACATTGGAAGGAGACAATTTACAACTGTTGGTCATGTCATGTGATGGGGAAGTCTGGAGTATAATGTGATGGTGGGAAAGTTGGAGGGAAAAAGAGGTGAATGGAGGCTGAAAGAGATGCTGGGCAGTTTGACATCACAGCATGGAAGTTCACCTGTGTCAGAACTGATTGAAAGTACACGAGATGAAAGGTTAAGGATAGACATGACTGCAAATGCCACATGGCATAGACTGTAAAAAGAAGAAGAAAGACAGTTTAGAGTTTAGACAGACACTCAGAAGACTACCAGTGTTGCAGAAATTGTAGATATCAGCTGGTTCAAAGCAAACTTCTTCATGTTCATAGTCTGTAAACTCCAGCAGAAAGTTCTGGTTGTTCATCCACTTCTGGACTTTGGTCTTGTTCAAGAACCTGAGTGTTGCATGTGCATCTGTTTGACAGATCTGACTCATTGGTATGCAGACTGTTGGTTCCTTGCCTCTCAGGCAGATGCACTCTGACTTTGAAAAAAGACTACCAGTTAGTCGACTCTGGCAACATGTTTTGGCTAGGCAGTGAGACTTTTCTTGGTTTCCCCCACAGTGCATCCTAGAGCCTTCAGGGGCATCAAAGCAAACAAAAACAGACAGAAGTAAATCAATAGCACTTTCAAGACCATGGTTATGTCTTAAAATTGAAACACTGGAGTGTCAGAAAGTGTCTCTCCTCAGTGTGATTTTACCTTATTGTTTTTTAAAGATACCCTTGTGTTAACTGAGAACCTACATAGGAGAGGCTTTGTTAGAAGGATTCATGTTAAACTGGCATGTAGAAACTATTAATGCAAAATCTGATCAGCTCTGCGTGAAGTCTTCTAAAATGAACTTTGTGTATATGTATGCCTTGTCTCCACTGAGAGATTAAAAGCAGAAGAAGAAAAATAGAAGAAGAAGAAGAAAAGGCAACAAAGATGAATAATGTGACACAGTACATATGAAAGTTTAGCGCTTCACACCCTTTTGATAGTATTTATTACAGAATTACCTTTTTTTAATATACTCATTATGTTGTGTAATTTATTTAGTTGTAATGTATGTTATAAATATATATGTTACAGAAACAGCACAACATGAGGATAATAGTATGTTATAGAATTACCTTTTTCCATTTATTGGGCTAATTATGTTATGTAAGTTATTAAGTATTAGGTTGTATGTCAACAATAGTTGTGTTTTATCAACCTTCCTGTAGATATCCAGCTGTTCCAACTGTACAGACTTCCAGTCGCGACGACTGAACATCAAATATATCTCCCCGTCTGGAGAACTCCGACATGTGCACACGGTTAGTCTAGATTTTGCTGTTCATTATTGTTATTTGTTCTTGAATTGTATATTCCCTGTGTGGGTTCTGGGGCCTCATTGTGGGGTTAGGGGTTGTGGGGGACGAAGAATAAACCCACTAACCATCCTAACAAGCATGTCATAAGAGCCTACTAGTTGGGGATGTTTGCTTCGAAGTTGGAGTGCATCTGCCTGAAAGGTAAGGAACCAGCAGTCTGCCCACAGATAAGGCAGATTTTTAAAATGAATGCACATGCAAAGTCAAGTTCTGCAACAAGATAACAAGTTTAGAAGTGGCCCAAAAAAAAAAAAAAAAAAAAACTTTCCACCAGAGTTTACAGTTGGTCATTTAAACAAAGAAGATAAAGAAGAATTGTCTATGACTGGGTTGTAGAGTGCATTCAATAATTATGACACTTAAACATTATATGATTCTATTTTTTAACTCATTTTGTACCAAACCATTCACCAGATATTTCTTGATGTTTTAGAAGGTATTGTGATGTTTTTGATGTCTTCTATCACACAGCTTTTTTGTTAATTTTTTTATATCTGAATTATTAGTTGAACCACTTCTGTTTCTTTATTAAACTTTTCAGGTCTAGGTATTTGTTACTTTTACTGTAGTCTATAACTATATAAAAGAAGAAGATTGAATTGTAATGTACATGTTTGATTGTCATTTGTTTCCTTGCTATATGCTTTTAAATATTATTATTGTTGGCCATATTGTATATGTTTAGATTCTTCTTCTTCTTTTCATTCTCCTGCCAGTGGTTTTCAGTTGAGAAGGAAACATATCTCTATGAAGTTTGTGCTGCCACGCATCTTCTCCACTGATCCATACCGCTTTGGTTTCCACCAAAATGCCAACTAGCCTGACCCTGGGACTTCTCTACTGCTTATAAAGAACATGTGCAGTGTCTTATGTCCTCACGGGCTAAGCTGTGAGTCCCCAGTCTTGAATCTTTGGTACATGTGACTGCAGAGTCTGTTGTGTCCTCATGGGTGTTGTGTCCCCAATCTTGATACTCTGATACATGTGACTGCAGAGTCTGTTGTGTCCTCATGGGTGAAATTGTGAGTCTCCAGTATTGAATCTCATGACTGCAGAGTCTGTTGTGTCCTCATGGGCCAAGTTGTGTGTCCCCAATCTTGAATCTCTTATACATGTGACTGCAGAGTCTGTTGTGTCCTCCTGGGTGAAATTGTGATCTCATGACTGCAGAGTCTGTTATGTCCTCATGGGCCAAGTTGTGTGTCCCCAATCTTGAATCTCTTGTACATGTGACTGCATAGTCTGTTGTTTTCAGTTCGCAGTCTCAATGCAGTGGTCTAATGATTTTATGGGAGGAGGTTGATTTGGTCATCAGGATTGTGTTCTGGGTGGAAAGTGTTCCAATGGGTTCTGACAGCTGCCTTGATCTGGGTTCAGTGTTTCTCAAAATGAATGCTGTATTTGTATTACTTCCAGCCTGTAGTAGCCTGCTCTGTTATTTTCCATAATGTTGCACTGGCCTGGGATCCACTGGAGCACACAGTCTTTGGTTAGCTGTCCCGTCTAATTCAGCAGAGATCTAAGCTTGTTGATCTGTTTTTTCTTATGTTTAAATTGAATTTATGTATTTGATTGTTGTTCTTCCTAAATGTGCAGGTAAATGGAACTGCCTGTGCAGTCCCCAGATTGATAACTGCCATTCTTGAACAGAATCAACAACAGGTAACATATTATTGTGTATTTGCAAATGTGATTATTGTTTTTTTTTTCACTTAAAGATAATCTTCATCACACATTGGACATGATGACCATTAGTGCTCCAATTTCCTCCTGGGTATGTTTCCAAGTGTTTTTAGGCTAATAACTTTCAGTTCTGTACTGGTTGATGTAACAACGCTGCCACATGGTTTACCTGACTGGCTGCTCCAGTGGGTACACCCAGGGTATGCAGTCTGTTCAGCGAAAAATCATTTTCCAAGAAATTGAAAGCTTCACGGCATTTAGTTTCTCGTATGGCATTGATGATGTCTCTCCTGTCTATAGATGGTCCATTCCTGATAGTCACACTGCTAGCCAGGGTGTCTGCTGTCTCATAGCTTTTCACACCAGCATGACCTGGGACAAAAATGAAAGTGATTTTGTGAAACGCTGTGTGCTGTATCAGATGGAGCCACTGTTTCCCTATGTGCCTCACCTTGATCTTCCGTAGCATGCTCATTGAGTCGCTGAGGAAGCATGTATTGGTGAATTCCTGAATTTTCAGGAACTTGATTATTGTCACCTTTAACATACACACATTCTGTCATAGATGACATGTTGGCTCCTTTCAGTCTTTCCATACACTGGTGTTATCTTGTGCTTTAGGGAGGTAGAGGAATTAAATTCCTTCTTTCTGTAGCTAATTCCTCCCTTCTATAATAGCACAAAGCCTGGACAGGATTGAAGAGATTGTATGATACATTAACCTGGAAGGCTAACCCGGTCAACAAACGCCCGCAGAAGTCGGATGTGTTAGCCGAAAGGCGCAAATATCGCAGCAATTACATTTTCGGATGAACGCAGAAGAAGAAGAAGACGTATGATACATGCAGCATGATCTCACTGTCTGCCTTGTTAATTGTGAAGGAAAGGTGGCACCAAAATGTTTGCATGCTGCAGAAGCTGCCAGATCAGGAGAGCGGTGCTTCTCTCTGCCTGCGATCACAGCTTCTCTCCTAGACCAGCTGCCAAAATTAAGACTAAAGACCAATTTTTTTCTCTGCCTCAACATTAAATGTTCAAATTGCATTTCCTCTTCCATAGAGGACAACAAGGAGGGAATTAGATAGAAAGAAAGAAATAAAGAAGGAAAGAGAGAAAGAGCAACTCTTCATCACACCATGGATTGTGTTGTTATTGGCACCTTTCTCTCTTTCCAGACAAAAGTGTTACATTATACTACAGAGAGGCACAGGAATCACAACCCACACTGATGGACAATTAAGACCAGTAATGGAAGTCCCTTATCTCTTCAGCATAAAGCCTGGGTAGTATTGAAGATGCCATGTTGCCCATAAAGCATGATCCATCTCTAGGCCTACCTTGTTTATTCCAAAGATAACACTATACATTTGGAGCAGATGTGCTGCAGAAGCTGTCGGATCAGAAGAGTATTGCTCTTTCTGTCCCCCTGACAGTTTCTTTTTTCTTGGCATTCACAGGCTGTACACTCTTGGAAAGGGGGAGGGAGGAGGGGTCTAATTGTTTGTAAACTTCTGGACTTTGATCTTGTTCCAGAACTTGAGTTTGCCATGCACATGTGCTTCACATATCTGGTGTCTTGTGTGCAGACTATTGCTTCCTCACCTGTCAGGCAGATGCACTCCAACTTGGAAGGATACACCCCTGATTAGTAGAGTATTACATGCTTGTTGTGGAGCAGTAAGTCTATTCTGTTTATCCCCCAAAATGTGGCTGCATAACCCACACGGGGGGAAAAAAAGAAACCTAAGAATTTCCAGGATCTAACATCTACCATGCCCTGCATGATTTTTGTGCTTATTTATTATGTCATCTATTCTCTGATATTTTCTTCTTCTTCAGCATTACGAGCCATTGAGGTCCATTGCTGCAGATGTAACCCACCTCTATTCATCTCTTTAACTGGCCTTCTCTTTCCAGTTGATGGTTCAAAGTGTTATTTGTAGATCAGCCAATACATTACCTGTCCAACATTCTATGTGGCCTTATAGCCTACTCCCGTTTCACTTTTGTGTGAATGCATCTTTTGTGTTACCCACCATTTTCTCTATATGCCCAAACAGTTTTTTCCCAATATCTGACCCCAGAGGACGTCACGGGACAGTCCAATATATTTGAGAGTGATAAGACTGGGTTTCCTGATGTCTGTGTTTTGTGTTTCCCGGCTTTCTGTGTATTGCAGCGTTTCTTCCAGTGGTGTCTCTCTAGCGGCTGGTGTTCAGTCTTCATCGCTGTGAGTTTTCTTGAATTAGCAGCATTGATGCCTGACAAGAAGAGCAGCGTTGCTTTCCTGCAACATCATGGCATTCAGCATAGTACCAGACGTTGCAGCAACAATCATACAATGATTTTATTCCTGACCAAAAGCCATGACCCCTGACGGTGTCGAAAGTTGACCTGTTGTCTGGACATACCGTTGAGGCAAGAAACATGGCTGGATCGGCCTTACTGCCAGATCATGCTGTTTCTATATTACTGCTCTAACGAGTTGACAAGCATTCAAGTTTGGCAAGTAGAGCTGGGCATGTCGATGAATACAACTGCAGAGTGGAGCGGCTACACAGGCGAGGTTTGTGCCAATACATTATTACTGAATCCTGCAATGATTCCCGGAGAGAACGCCACTGTTGAAATTGATGAAAGTCTGTTTACAAGGCGGAAAAATCATGTGGAACAAGTGTTTCCACAGCATTGGATATTTGGTGGCATTTGTGGCTAAAACAGGCGAGTGCTTTAATCTTCTGCGTTCCAGACAGAAAAGCAGAGAAGCTTCTGCTGATCATTAGCACAAACATCAGACCTGGCATGACTGTACTCTCCAATCTGTGGATACTGTGGAATTGATATTCAGATCTACTAAAATGTAATGTTGTTTTGATTGTCAGTTCATGAACCCAGCAGTATACATCTAGAATGATTTGCCCTTTTTAGGGCCACCCCCAAAGTACCCCAATTGGTAAGGCATCCTGCCGATTGTTCGTAGAGTGTCTCACAAACAAATTGCAAAACAGAACCAAAAATTGCATCCTCAAAAACAAAATAAAAACACCTTACAAAAACTGCATCCTTCCGATTGCACATAGAGTCAAAACCACACACAAAAAGAGAAATACAAGAATGCACAGCAGAAAACTTCACAGCACACATAACAGAAGCACACAAAAGTGAAAACTACATAGCAAATGAACTGCCAAATTACTGCACAGCAAATGAACTGCCAAATTACTGCACTGTATGCTTCATCTACCACCCCCTGAAATATTAGTCCCATCACCTGTGGATTTTCCCTGTTTAGGGTAGGATATTGGGAAAGAACAGCCCAAACTGTTGATGCCCTCATGCGACGACTGTGCTTAATAGTGATTAAAAAGATTTTGAATTCCCTTGTTGCTTTTCATGCTCCATTTTCTGCTGTTTGCATCTTTGATGAGTCCAGACATTTTTCATTAGACGGTTATCAAAAATGTGTAGAGCCATATAGGACAATTTGTCTTATTCACTTATATGATTGTTTTTATATTATAAATCATTCATGTCAAATCCTAAATAATTTTTTTTTAGAAAATATGATTGAATCTTCTTCTTGTTTGACAGAGAAGAAAACTGGATTTACCAGAGATACTGTGGCCATATCTTGGTGGACTGAAATGTTTTTCCCCGGAATGGAAAAAGTCCAGTTATACTTTTATCAAGACTCTCAGCAAAGTGTAGTAATTATGGTTATTTGATTGAAAATTATTAGATTTTATGATAAAATATATGAATAGAGGTAACTTTTATGTTTCACATTCAGTTACACCAGCTCAGTATCTGCTCCACTGTATGTGTGTAGGAAAATTCTGGCCTTTACTTTTATTGACATAGCAATAAAAGGGAAAGTGCTTATCCAAGTCAATGAATTCAAGAATTTGGGGACATTCAAAACATTAGTTGGATGCTTTGTGACAGAAAATAAGATGAGAATCGCCAGGCAAAGGCAGCATTTCAGAAGATAAAAAGCATCTTATGTAATAAATCACTCTCATTAAACATCAGAAAACCAGTATTGTAATGTTACATCAAGTCTGTTCTGTTGTGTGGCAGTTAGTCTTGGAATATGAGCAAACAAATTGAGAAGAGTTTGGAAGCAGCTCAGATGTGATTCTTGAGAAGAATGTTGTGAATACCTTAGACTGCCAGAATCATTAACAATGATTGCCTGGAAGTGGCTAATGAAAGTAGAACATTATATACAACAATGAGAAGGAGACAAACAAAGTTCTTTGGTCATGTGATGAGAAAAGGAGCACTGGAGAATGTCATGACGACTGGAGAGATCACTGGTTGAAGAGGCAGAATAAGAGACATGATGGTGGATGGCTTAAGACATCATGGAGGTATTTCGTCAGTGGAATTGATCCAGAACACCACAGACCGAGGTCTGTAGAGATGTGTATATGCCTACGCCAGCTGGCAAGGCACTAGATGAAGATGATGATTCTTCTACTTCTTCAGCTTTCACTCATAAAAGGGCAGTTGTTAGAATGTGTTGTCTTGTACAGCTAAGCTGCAATATCTGCACCTTTTGGCCCTAGCATCTGATTTTAGCAGACTTCTCACTTCAGCAGACTTCTAACTAGGCACCTTTTACAACATGCTTTTTAGTGGGTTGTGGGTGTCTTCTCTATTTTTCCCCACAATGGGGCCCAGTAACCCACATAGGGCTGGTCTGTTCTCCTTCTTCATGTTTACCGGCTGTAAACTTCTGGATTTGGTCTCATTCTATAAACTTGTGTTTTGCCTGCACATCCCTTTTTACAGAATTTGATTTATTTGTGTGCAGACTGTTGATTCCTCACGACCCAGCAGATGTACTCTGGCTTCAAAGGGTACACCCCTAATTAGTCGACTTTTATAATATGCTTATTAAGGAGGCCGAGTCTACTCTTTTTTCCTCGGAAAATGGGGCTATGGAACGATACTCTCTGAGCAGCAGTTACAAATTATGGGTACTGATTGTCTACCATAGTCAACTGGAGACTCTCTGCAGTATCGCTGGGTGCACTGTTTGTCTACCACAGTCAACTGGAGACTCTCTGCAGTATCGCTGGGTGCACTGTTTGAGTCCCTGGCAGACTTCTGGTACTATAGGGTACTTACACTGAACAGAGCACACATGGGCAACCTGCTAACATTGTTACTAGAAAGTCCTTTCTTTGGATCTGCTGGGTACACAGAAATAGAAAGATGTAAAAACCACATAATGTAAAAGAAACTAGAGACAAGTAAATAATTAAGGAAAACGCTGCCTGAGATTTATTTTCTAATCAGCATTGATTGTCTCATTTCATATACACACAATGGTATACTGCCAATGTTTGCGGTCATCTTCTGATTTTTGTGTGTGTTTGCCCTTGTGATTCGGTTTATGGCTCGGCTGTGATATTTTTGCCTTTCTGCGCAACACATAAGATCTCAGCAAATCTTTAATCAGTCACTTTTACGACATACTTGTTAACGCTTTAGTTCCCTGATAGTGTTGAATGCAACAGAGTCTGGGCTTTTTCTTAAAAGTCCTAGAGCCACAATGGTTACTCTCAAAGAGCTAAAAAAAAAAAAAAAAAGCTTTGGGAGAGAAAGTGCTGTAATAACAACTTGGAAAATAGGGGGTTAACATAAGACATGAATGTGATACGAAGAGTAACGCAATGTGTACTGTATATAGTGTAACCAGCGAACGTAGGATGAGCTCCTAATACTGAAAGGGTTAAAAAGCAGTGAGTCAGTTGTAATTTTCCTCCAAGAGTCTGTTTATCTAATCATCATCATCATCATGTAGCAGGTCCTTTGCAGAACGTCGCTCTCATCACAGTCTGCCTAAAAGAAACTTGGTTTCTCACCAGTTCTCCCACCCAGTACTCAAGGAGTCACTTATATCCTGTGCCCATCTTTGGGTCAGTCGGCCCCTGCCCCTCCTTCCTGGTACCATGCCTTCTGCTATTAATTTTTTCCAATCCGTCGTGCCGCTTAATATGACCAAAATGTTTCAGCTTCCGAGACAGGATGCTGTTTATTAGCCAATCTTCCTTGATGTTCAGATCTTTCAGGATGTCAGTATTTCTCTCTTCTTTGTCCAAGATATTTCTGAGAATCTTTCTATAGCATTTCAGCTCAAAAGCCCCTATTCTCTTTCTTAAGGACTGAGAGATAGTCCACAACTCACATCCGAATGTAGCCACAGGGAAGATGCATGCTCTCAAAATTCTAATTTTGATCTCCTTGCTGGTGCTTAACCATAGACTTTTAAGTCTGTTCAATCTTTGCATTGCTATGGCCATCCTCCTTTTAATTTTTGTCAAACAGTCTCCATTGCTGTTTGTTATAGAGCCTAGAAATTCAAAGTTTGTAACATTTTCAGTTTTTTCATCATTTATTGTTATTTTTGGGTGACAGCCAGTTTTATCAGTGGACATTGTTTTCGTTTATCTGATCTTCATGTTAAACATGTGCTGCTAGTGTAATGTTTTAGTGTGAAATTAGTCTGAAAAAAATGTAAAACACAATTTCTGGCTTTAGTCTGTATGATATGTATGCCAGTCGAACATAGAATTGTTATACTGTTCACGCACACTCACACACACACACACATATGCACACAAACGCATAGTAATCTGATAGCGCTTTCCTGTTAAAAAAAAAGGGAAAAAAAACATAGTTATCTGATTGTGTGTTTTTATTTGTTGATGGGAAAGCCTGATGCCTATCAATGACCCGAAAGAGTTGTCAGATGACTGGTTGTGACTGAACCCTAAGGTATTTTTGCATGCAATTTTGAACAGTTTCACTCATTTCACACCTTTCAATGGCTAGTTTTTGAGTTGTAAAGCGCCTTTGGATAACTATGTGTTTCTTTTCTTTTTATTTGTGAGTATGCTTGCGTGCAAAAAAAAAATTCTGCATCATATTTAAAACATGTCTGAAAAACATCTGATTTTTTTTTTCAAATAAAGTTAAATAAAACACATTTGGTTTTTTGGGCAACATTTTCTTACTTTTCAGTTTGAAAGATTAAATCCTGACCCCATTTGGGGTTGTAACCAATGGGAACCTATGCCCGTATTAGTTGACCTTTTATATGTTAGGAAGCCAGTGGGTCTCTTCTATAATCCATGCTGATTATGTTGACACCATCACCAACCAAGCATCAACTTGTCTATAAACATATGAGTCCAACATCATATGCCTAATTCACCACCGGCATAAAAAAGGGTCCTTTACTCCTTTTATGCAGGTCACTAATTCTCATTATGAGTTAGTTTCTTTCAGAACATCTTCATTGTATTTTTTTTTTTTAAATGTCCAAAGTATTCTCATAATTTGTCTGTAAAAAAAAAAAAAAATACGACTTATCATAATCTACACAATTTGTCATTGATTTTTTCATTGTCCATCTTTATGTACTCATGTGTGAATGATCACCAAATATCATATCAGATAAATAAATATCAAAAATCAAGTGTCTTTTCTTCTTCTGCCTTCCCGGTTAAAAGGGCAGTTGAGATGTTTTATGGTTTAGAGATTGATTTTTATTTTATTCAAGAACGGACATCACAGCACTCGGGGCATTTCCATAAGCGCTCCATCCCCATCTTTCATTAGCCAGGGAAGAGTTCTAATACTAATGGTGCCAGTAGCATTCTGATTAAACGTCTGTCTTGCTTTTCCTCTGAGCCTTGAGCATCTGCCCGAACCTTTCGTCACTCCCCACTGCATCAATCTCACCAGACTATGGTGATCCATCTGCTCTTCCGAACTCTACACGCTCTTCCACAAGGTGTCGCATGACCGCATCCACACATCTGCCACAGCAGGAAGGTCCATATAGCTGACCACCCTAAACTCGTCATCGTAACTATGTAATAGGATAGGCCAAGCATAGTTAGATAGTTCGTTTGTTGTGGGGGAGTCCTGATAGGAAAAATCCATATAAAACCCTTTGATAATGACTCTTTTAGGCTTTGAGTGTCGAATTAAATGTTAGGACGCATTTTCTACGCCTATTCTAAATAAATTGTCTGACCACTGCACTGCATTAGTGAGCGCGATTCGTACGCTAACTGCTGATGTTGTTAGGGGACGTGTTTGTGTGCGTCACTCTCTACAGTCCGGTCTTGGAGGCAGGCGTTTTTCCTTGTGTCTCGCCAATTGACCGTTATACAGACAAGATTCCTTGTTCTCTTTTTTTATTTACAATGGGTGAGTTTTCTTAAGGACTTTGTAATTGAATATTTGAGTTCATAGTGTCTGTGATGTAGGTAAGTAAGGTCAGCAGCTGGATAATGCGAATCTGTTTTCCTACGATTCTTGCCAAGGAAGGTGGCGAAAGGAGCTCCAGATCGGAATGCACTTTCGGTTGACATTTCTCGCAGAATGCTTTGACATGGCCTTTTAAACCTTTTCAATTCAATCAATCTACATATCTGGAGTGGGTTTGTAGTATTGATAACTTTGTATCGTTAATTATTTGCTAGTATTCGGTATCAGAACTTGGTAAGTCTCTGAATGGTTTTGAACGACAAGAAGCTTATGGGCAGACATGATGTCATGTCCGCTGTTGCTAGGTGATTTCGTAACCACAACAAGCTTCGACTGTCGAATTGTTTTCATAACATATTTCAGTAGGTCTTGGTTTTGACTTCATCGCCGATCCCTTATTTTCTACGTTAGAAGGA